GCCCTAAACCCTAAAACCCTAAGCCCTAAAACCCTAAGCCCTAAAGCCCTAATGCGATCCAAAGCCCTGGGTGAATAATCGCTGGCATACAACACGCTCTATAGCCATATTTATGGCTTCCTAGCTAGCTATGAACTCAAATAGGCGCGGTTGACTAACACGATCGTATGTAGACTAATGATGCTCACTACGCTAGTGCTTCTTTAAGCTTAGGATACTACGACATATATAGCCATAGGTGCCTCTCTTGCATAAAAGACCATCGCGATAAATGTGTAATCCCTTAATTAGCTTACTAATCTATGTGGGATACTAAAGCTCGTCGGGATTCTTATAGATGTTATCCTATTCTTCGACGGCCTTCGCGACCTAGCGGGCAATGGCGACGGGAATTCGATGCTGTGTACTAGTTAAATGAGTGATCACCTACTTTGGACGCACAGCATATTCGCATCGACGGCATATGATGACTGGAAACCCTGTGGTTCGGATGAAAAACCGGTCGGCGGGGGGGATAGTGGCCATAGAGCCTATGTAAATATATAAGTTGGACTATTGTATATCTGGCTGGCTGTGGTTGAATTGAGCTAAGATCTAAAACTGCTATGACTACGATTAAATGAAACTTATTAGTATATCTAAACCCCTGAAAAGCCCCCTGAAAATCTTACCTACTCCTAGCGAATTCTGAACGTGAGAAGTTGATGTGATTGTATACTAATGCTAGGCGGGCGCGACCCTAGCGTACCCTATCAAAATAACTTGACTCGTTTAGATCCCTATAACTACTTCTAAAACAAACTGAAATGTTCTGAAAAAAGAACTATATATAGATAAGTTCCTCTTCTACAATATTCTATAATATTATGTCTATTAGACGAGTATCACTGATTCTACCCTAGGTTAGTAGATGATTCAACTAGGGTCGGACCCACTTTTTTCACCTATAATTAAGAAATAAACCCTGATCCTACTGGGGCCCGTATTAATCACCCCCATAGGGTAGCCTAATAATCATAAATGATGTCATGATGATAGTAATACACCTAGTAGGGAGGTCAAAAGTAATCCAAAATTTCTATATAAATTTTTGCATTATTACTACTAATAGCATATATTGTACATAGAACCTGTAGGGAGATGATATATATTCGTCGCACAACTATGAACCAAAATTTTTTTAATAAACTCCGTTTTCGCTGAAACTTTACGGACGGCTTTTGTACGGGCCTATTACGTATATTTGAATGAGAGCTGATTCCGACCGTCGCCGATGGAGCCATTCGCAAAACAAAACTTCAAACGTGAATAACTTTAGAACGGATGGTCCGATCGCAATACTTTTACTCTCATTCAAACTAGCTTAGTTAGGAGCACTATGGACAATTTTACGGAATCTAAATATTCCAAATTTTAGCTACGCACCTATGCAGAAGCTATATCAAGCGTTTTGTGAAGATGATTTAGTAGATAGAGCACGAATACGTCGTCCGCCCTACATTGTGGTAATAAGATACGCTCGTAATTTATTTCTCATAGTTAGAAAGCGTAAGGCGTTGACCATACGCTCCCGCTGTATGGGCTTGGCGCCCCCATCAGTCAGAATTAGGGTCAAATTTCAATTTAATTCCTACCCCCCCAAATCTAGTCGGATAGCGCTAAAATTTAAACATCAATATTTCAATCGTCTGAATTAGAATTCCTAAAATTTTGAAGGCGATTACTCCAAAATTAGGATCATTATAGCTGGGGCCGAATAATGACCTCGGCCCCAGCCTTATCAGGGCCAAATCCTTATCTCTTTATTACTCGGCCCCAAGCTGAAGCCGGTATGGACTATAATTTAGGCCCTAAGCCCTAAGCCCTAAAACCCCTGATACCCCTAGATGTTAGAATAACCCCCTTTCCTACGAATACATAACAAGATATGACGAAATTTGCCTTGATCATTATAATCCCGAAGCATAATATGCTTAATAGATGACCTCCCCTACTAAGTTCGATTAATGAATCAATTAAGCTACTAAATAGCCTCATGATTACAAAATATAAAAGAAGATCAGGAATAATTACCTAAATTCCCTATAAAATATATGCAGAAACTCATCTATAATCACTAAGTGAAATATGTGAAACAGAAAATATAAAATCATTCTATCGTAGCCTAATAATCATAAATGATGTCATGATGATAGTGATACACCTGGTTGGGAGGTCAAAAGGAATCGAAAATTTCTATATAAATTTTTGGATTGTTACTACTCATAGCATATATAGTACACAGAACCTACGGGTAGGTGATATATATTCGTCGCACAACTATGAACCGGAATTTTTTCAATGATCTCCGTTTTCGCTATAATTTTGTATACGGCTTCGAGACGGGCCTATTATGTATATATTTTCATTGGAGCTCGTTCCGACCGTCGCTGATGGAGTTATTCGCAAAACAAAACTGCAAACGTGAATAACTTTACAACGGATGGTCCGATCGCAATCATTTTACTATCATTCGAACCGGCTTCGTCAGGAGCACTATGCATAATTTTGCAGAATCTTCACATTCCCAATTTTAGGTGCGTACCTCTCTATAGAGGTCTACTATCAAGCGTTTTGTGTAGATGATTTTGTAGATAGACTACGAATACACCGTCTACTCTATAGTGCAGTAATAATATACGCTCGTAATTTATTCTCCCTAGTAGGGAAGCGTAAGGCGCTAACAATACGCGCCCGCTAGTTAGGGCTTGGCACACCCCATCAGGGAGAATCAGGGTCAAATTTCAATTAATTCCTACCCGCCCAATTTGAGGCGGATCACACTGAAATTTGAATAGGAGGGCTTTTGTGACCCTGATTAGACTTGCTGAAATTTTGAAGTTCAACGCTCTAGAATTGAGGATTTTTTTCTGGTGGTCTAAAAACCACGCTAGACCACCCCCCAAATCGCCCCCACGCCCCACTTTTTTAGGACTTCTTAACTACTAGACCACCTAGTGGTCTATGTCTAGAATAGGATTTAGGATAGAGGGTGACTATTTCGTTCTTACGGCGTTCGATAGCGGCACGATATTCTAGGGGTGTGTTCTAAAAGGGCGAATCGTTAGCGAAACGGCCATGGGATGGAGGCGCGTACACACCTTCTCGTCCCTCTTAGAATCAGTCAATCCGTACTTAGAACGATGCGCCTTTGCCATAGCGTTAAAAACCCTATAGAGCTCAAGAATCGCAGACGAAACGGTCCCGATAAGCTCATCGGACTAGACTTCCTTAAGCGCGTTGTTGCAATTCTAGAATAGAAAAGTCCAATCTAATAGCTTGACTAAGTTAGCCTAGTCACTAATCATCATACGATTAATCTAAAAGGGCGATAAGCATCCGAAACGACCCTGAGACGCACACAAGAAGGAACTTACCGAGTAGTAAGAGGCATTCTTCTTGTCATAGCCCTTGCACCGTTTCGAGGCAAAACCATCGTATTCGCAAATCACTGAGAATGGCTCTAGACTGCGGCCGTCCTTTACCACCTCCTTCTTGAACTTGGCTAAGGTAGTGCGGAAGTACGACATGTAGAAGTAAATCTGGGGCACGAGGGGCGAATCACGGGTGATTCGGACCCGTATCGGCGTGGGAGGAATAGGAGTTCCATCTCCACTAGAGGCGCGAGTGCGTCCCGTAGGAGTCGCCGGCGGCCTATCGTCAGGATCAACGTCCGCTATGATGTTAACAAAACAAGCAACAAAAACTGAGGGCGAATATAGGCAGAAGCGCACAAGAAATTGTGTAGAGAAGGGTCCGAAACGGTATTCGAAAATTTTTGCAGAAGAAGAGGAAACGAGAACAGAATAACAACACGATATCTTGTCTGTTTATATGTTTCTTTGTCGGCCTGAAGATCACCCGACCCTTGTCACTAGGATCACGGCACTATGCCGCATTGGGTTCGGTACCGAATCTGCGATTGTTTGCTCTTTGTTTATATTTCTTTGCTTTCGCCTAATCCGGTTGTTTTGTTTATATTACCTGATTGCGTTTGATTCGTATGATTCTGTCGTCTTATTTGTTGTTTACCTGGTTATTTTCGCGCCTAGGGTCAGTCGCTTTAGGAGGGGGCATAATTGTTACAGATTGGACTAGTTTTGAGGTTATTCAGGATCGATATCACGTGACCCGCTTGTATATACTTACCCCGCTTTTGTTTTATAAGTTAAAACAAACCATGGTTTTGAGCTGATTCTGGCAAGAATCAGTGTGTCTTTGTTTCTACTGAATCACTCTTATCTCGGTACTATTTCGCTACCGTATCGCTTCCTTTTCGGAACATCATTCCCCACCTGACCAACAGGTTTCTACCCTGACAAGTAGTTCTTTTACAGCTACTCGTAGCTAGGAGGATACTCCTAACCTAGACCGCGTACTTCTCTATCCGATCTAATGCGCTAAGCTACGCCGTAGTGAACTAGTGACGGAGCTCGATAGTCTAGCTAGGGCGACTAGTCTAGTAGACGAAGCTAAGTAGCCGCACCTAAGCCTACTAGTAGCGGCGGTAGGTAGAGGGGCGAAGTCGGATCTAGATAGGTCGCTACTACACCCCCTCGCGCTAGATGAAGCTATTAATACACACCTAGTTAAACTCGTTAATCCGATAGGAGGAGATTGATTCAAAAGCGGCGTAGATTAAGCGGCCGATACTACCTTCAATAGTAGCGAGGATAGGCTCCGTCGTATAGTCGGGCAGCACGGCTAAGGCCGTCATAGAGGAGAACGAGCGTCCGCCCACGTATTCTGGCTAGCGGGTTAGTATAAGCCACGGGGAGGCTTCCGTGACATTGCGCTCAAGCGGCGCAGTATCATCTTTAGCCCTAGTAAGGTCGTCGGACTAGAGGAGTGCGTCGTTTACCTACGCGAGCACAAAGTCGGCCTTAGACATCTCAAGCGCCTAGCGCGTCCGCTTCTCTTAGGCCTCTAGCGTTATAGGGAAGAAATGACTACTAGGGCTAGTAACGAAGAAGCGCTAGTAGTAGACTAGAACGCCTTGCTTTCGCGCCTAGTAAGAGGCCGGCCGGCCGGGGCGGCCACGAATGCTATGATTCATACGTCGGTGTTTACGTATTGCTTCTAGCGATCGTACTATATAGAAGCAGCCTTCCTCTAGGTAGCGATATCCTAAGTATACTGGTATTCTAGGTACTAGGCGCGATTTAGGCGGCGGCGGCGCAAACGGAGTGACGCTTAGGTCCCATAGGTTCAAATGCTATGCGTCCACCTAGGCGGCCGCACGGAGTGGTTCGGTCTTTGAGGTCGGGTGGTGGCGATGTCTCTTACTAGTAAGGTGGCCCTAGATCGTCCGTGGTGCCACGCCGGTCTAGCAGCCCTGGCAAATCTAAACCCGATAGGTCGAGTTAAACGCAAAGAGGTCCATCGAAAGGGAGAAAAGTAATAGAGGAGGATAGAGGAGGAGTGAGCTAGAGGAGTTCGCGTAAATACGGCGTAGAGGGATTTCGTGTCGTGCTGCACTCACGCGTAACGCGTTGGCCCTACTGACCTCGACATCTATCATATTGTATAGATCCCTGTCTCTTGCCCTTCGCTTCGTCTCATAGGTCGGTCTAGCAAGTTCGGGGCACGCGGCCCGAGGGGCCAGGAGCACGCACCGCGGTTTGGGGCGGGCCAATCGGGGAGCGGGAAACCAGGGCGAGGCGCTCACCCCAGTTGACCCTGGAGAGTAGGTGGGCCATATCCTGACTTTTGCCATATGGATGCTCCCCCCCACGGGTTAGGAATATCATCATCATCTCCGTTCTCCCTCTCTCCCTGTCGTGATCCCCCAGGTCCTTACCAAGGCGCCTCCTGACTTCCCCTGAGTCACGCCGCCATCAGCTTTCCTAGATATCAGGTTTCTAGAGAACTCCCTGCCCACTTGATGTACAGATCGTGGGATTTGAACTCTGTCAGTTTAAAGCCAAATCTCTTTATTAGTGCTCCTATTAAACTCAGCGATGCGAATATTCATGTAATATTGGGCAGCTTTGGGCTGGTAACCATCGAACGTATCTATTCCTCGGTCTCATTGTACCCGTACTTCTTCATGAACTCTGCTTTCAAGCTCCTAAAGTCTCTAGCCCAGACGGAGGAGAAAATATCCTTGAACCAGCCTTTGCGGTGAGTGCGGAGACCCATGTCTTTTAACAAGGTATCCGTATATCCGATGAGCTCAAAGGTCATGGTATTGCCCTGACGGCCAGTACCAAGGTATCGACGCCGACACCACATTGTGAACAGAGCTACATCCTTTTCCTGCTCTTCTACACCCGGCAATTCCAGTTTCCCGTCAAAATAGGCTGTCGCCCACATCGATTGGCACTCCACAACAGGGAAGTAGTTACCTACAACGACCTGACCAATAAAGACAATAGAACGATCTTTACTTGCGTCGCCCAATTTGGACAAAGGAACAATATTTCGATACAGCCGGTATGGGGTCTTTGTGGTAGGCTTGACATAGGTTGAAGGAGGGTTTGCAAGCTGCGGAAAGGTGGCGAGAACTTTTTCGTCAGCGTCAGCTTCGAGGGTCGCCCAGTGGCTTTTCTCGTTTGGTGGCTCGTGGGCTACTAGGTGCGGTAAACCAAGTTCCCTGCACTGCTCTTCGGAGAAAAATTGGAGCGAAGGCTGCCAGCCTGTGCCGCAGAGTAGAGCATCGGTAGGTATCTTCTCGCCGCTTTGCAGACAAAGTACATCTTTCTCGAGGCAACCAACATCACCAACATAAATGCGAACATTGTCTGCAATAGTGTCAAAGAAATCGTGGTGGTTAAGAAGTCCGCCTGTACAATTTTGCCAGAATATCCTGTTTGATTTAGTGCTTGTCGAGGAGGACAACCATCTGGGAGGGGATAATCATGGCTTACGGTGAGTGTGGGGATAGCTTGTCAAAGTTTTGTAGACTACTTCGTTGGAAGTCGGCCTCTGCTCGAGCTTTCTTGTCGACAGAGCCCCAGAACCCGGCCATCATTTTGGGGCCATATTTAGAAGAATGAAGGAGACTTGTCCACCAGTTTACTCCATTCATAAAGGAAGGAGTAAGAGTTGCAGCTAGTCGAGTCATTCCTATCTCAAAGGCATTTTTGTATGGCCATACCCCTTGTGGAGAGAGAAAAAAACCGGGACCAGCCGTATCGGTAGCTTTTATGATCCAAGAGACAGTTTTGCCAGCTTTGACTGCTTCGTAAACCATATCGCCAGATGATTTTCCAGCACCCAGGACGGTGATATTCTTGACATCTGGCGAGGTCAAGACATTGGACGAACCGAAACCGTCCTGGTGAAGAACTTGATTGAGAAACTCGTCCCTTCCGGGTAGCGAAGGCATGTTAGGAATTGAAGTGCAGCCACTAGCAACAATTAATTTGGCAGTTTTGAACGTGTGCTGTATTGGAGTCTCTCGTTCTTTGGACACCACGTTCCACCCGCTATGGATCTTCAGAACCGACTGTACTTCGATTGAGAGTTTAACTCTATCGCGCAACGTCTGACCAAAGTAGCTATGCGAATCGACATAGTCGTTGAGGTACTTCGTCGTATGCTTGGCTTTGAAGAACTCAAGATAGACGTCCTCGACCGGTGGTCGTGGCATGGCCTGGTCCGAGAATTCACCCGTTCCTATCGTGAATTGAGTCCAAAAGGAATCGTAGCCGCGTCCTGCGGTCCACAAAAAGTAAGTGAAGCTGAAGATAAGACAAGAGACGTGAGTCGACTTACGCGAATTCCAAGTACCTCCAATGCAATTGTCCCTGTCGAGAATAACCAGTCGAGAATCAGGGTGGATATCCAGCCAAAATTTGGCTGCAAAAATCCCCGAGATACCTAGTTCGACATGTGCATTAGCAGATGAATTCCAATAAAGCGAAAGGAGATACCGTCATCTTACCTGCTCCAATGACAAGAACGTCAACGTCACTCAAGTCGCCCATAATGCCAGCCTGTCTTGAGCAGTAGTTTAGATGGAGTTAATGCAATCAGACAGGAAGCAGATCGAAGGAGAAGAGAAGAATCTTTCGAAGCCTCGAGAGACGGTGAGCGAAGGAGTCGACTCGCACAAATTCCCGCGTCTTGAATAAAGGGTATGTTGTCGAAGGAAGAAAGAAGATGAGATAGCGAGACAGGGCGGGATGGTGAGACGGGGCGCCTGAGACGGGGCGCCTTGTACAAGCCAGCAGCAGTGGTTTTTCCTATCTTTGCACAACTGCCTCTGTTCAATATGCCTTTATGTACAGAGGTGTGCACAAGATTCCGTCAACGCGCTCAATTAGTGGTAAATTAACTAATGAGTAGATTTCGACACATCCACTCCGCAGACTGCGGATTTGCGGATTCTACCTATCCTACTACATCCACAAGTTGCGGGTTTGCGGACCCTGCCTATCCTACTGTATCTGCAAATTGCGGAGCGGATGACACGCCATCCACGGATCTTGCAGATGCTGCCGCAGTCTACTAATGAGTAACTTTAGTTAATTTGTCCGAATGGCGCCCATGGTGGGACAATGGATAAAAGTTATACAGCACTAAATTGCTTTTGTTTTTTGACATTCTTGGCATTGTGCGTTGATTTAGCTTATTATACGTTTTGTACTATTAAAGAGATAGCTCGATTATATTCAGAATGTCAGACATCTTCTATCTTGTTGATGTTGACCACATTCCCGCATCCCGCGTCAGGTGATGAGTGGCTAATCAAGGATCCACTTGGTCAGACACAATATTCCAAGGGCACAAGTCCAGCGCTGTATTGTTCACGATATCAACCACGCGACCAAAACAGAGCGGCTGGAGTCGCTGCCTCAGGCCAGGGAACAACACGTCTCGAAACTCCCTGTCAACCCCTCATCTGCGTCAATAACTCCCTCCCTCTCTGATTCACTTGGTTGCAGAAGTATAGCGCCGTGAAAGATGCCTGATTTGGATCCTTCCCCTGTCACCTCTTCCGAGTCCCAAGCCAGCTTTCGTCTTGCGGACGGCCTAGGATAAGCTCTCCAGCAGGATCATCGCTCAGTCATCCGGCTGAACCTGCAGCACTTCCTCTGGCGCCAAGTATTTGGCTTCCACGTTCACCCATCCATTCCCACAGCCCCAGCCCTTGAGAAGATCGCCGACGTGGGGTGCGGGACTGCGTTGTGGCTGATCGACGTTTCCCGCGATTATCCTCACTGCCAGCTCGAGGGGCTGGACATTGACCTCACCCAAGCTCCCCATCCCGGATGGCTGCCCCCCAACATTCACCTACAGCACTGGGACCTCCTCACCGACGTGCCCGCGGACTTAGAGGCGAAATATGATCTAGTGCACGTTCGACTCCTCGTGCTGGTCCTTTCCGGTCTAGATCCAATGGTCACCATCCGTCAATTATTCCAACTAGTCAAACCGGGGGCTATCTCCAGTGGGACGAGTTAGACTGCGTGAATATGTGCATCAAGAAGGTGGACACCTCCATTGCCGCACCCGCGTTGGAAGAAATCAAGGAGGCATCGCATGCGGGAGGCCGACATGATTGGGTTTTGGAATTGCCGCGCCTCCTGACCGAGGTAGGGTTCCAGGACGCTAAGATAGACTACTATGATGAACCCTTGGAATTGGTCCGCGCTTTCAACGACCAGCATCTGTTGACCATGCAAGAGTTCGCGGCGAAATTGGCAGGCAAGGGCCAGCTCGAGGCCGCTGCTCGATTTACCCATCTAATCCAGGCCGGCTATCAGGAGTGTGTGAACGGCGCCGCGTTGTCCTTTCCTCGGGTAGTGGTCGTGGCTAAGCGACCTGCTTAAAGCCGTGGCTTCGTCGTGCGTGGCGATTGAATAGTGCTGGTGGCGACACATGTCCCCTCATAGTACAGTACCATAATGAAAGTGGTGACACCAGTTTCGGATGCACTGTACTACATTGCTCCATTAAAGAACATGACAGGCCACAGAAAAGGAATATGATTTATATGTTCCCATTTTGCTACTCCATATGCCTGCACTCGCAAGTGGAAAAGAAAAGCTAATAAAAAACAATCGCTTAAGAAATGCGCCAGGTGGTACATAGGCAGTCATCGAGAACACGAAAGAGCCCGAAAGAGGGAAGATGGAAAGAGATAGATGATTCAATGTAGCACGTTCCAAGAACTGCGTGGCGCTATCAGTAAAGTATATGTACACCCCTTCTCCTTCGGTATTCCTGTTCAAGGAAACATCAGAAGTCCATGCAATAACCATTTTACATTGTAGCAGTGAGGAGGCGGATGAAGCGATTAAGGATTTGAGAAGGGAGTGGTCTATTACGACACTTGGCATTTTGGGGAACGCGCAAGGTTATCAGAAGGTAAGGTTGAGGAGACGAAGGAGCTGTTAGAAGAGTGCGAGAAAGGTTCGTTGAACTTGGGAGCCAATTCTATCCATCTAAGCCCCTACGCTAAAGAATCGTCCTTTATCAATGCCCTCTATTGACACTCTCAGCTTCCAATGTTGCCACATACATTCAGGATATTCGATAAGTCAAACTCGTCAATCAGTCAGCAGCTTGCAACCAAGATATATTGAACTCCTTTGGGATAGATGAAGAGTACCAAGCGATCAAGAATATTGGTCCATCCAAGTGGTATTGCTTGTGGTCAGTCGCCACTGAGAGCGAAACTTTCGAGCCATCCAGTAGTCAATCTGTACGGCTGACAATCGCTCTGTAGAAGACGAAAGGATGGAAAGATAACAACCACGCAATTGAGGTTCTCAGTGATGATAGCGGACTAAAGCATCGAGCAGCGACTTAAAGTTGAATTGAGAGTTCTAGTTGAGCTTAAAGAGGCCTATGATTATTATGGTTATTTTAATACTATAGTAGGCAGGTAAATATGAAATTCAAACAAATGCAGGTTTGTATTGAGGCTTTGATTTTGCAAGAAAGACTCTCTTAAGTTCAATGAATTCTGGTAAAGAGTGAATGCGACGTTGTGTGCTAGATACCGCCAGTATGAGAATAGATAAACTGTATTAGAAAGATGGAATGCAACGTAGGGTTGAACCGAAGCCGAGGGAACGCTAGAAGTTCTAGAAAAGATTTCTGGCGACATGAGCGAGAGAAGACGAGCGAGCAATGAGCTACTCATTCTGCGCATGGGAAAAAAGACCTTCGATGATTTCTACGCCGTCTTCGCACGCTGTGCGAAGGAAGTCGGATATGCTTAAGATGCAATGATACCACTACTCGAGAATGCGATATCGAACAAATTAGAACGACAAGTGATCGGATTACAAAAGCCCACTGATTTCTATGACTTGGTGGACTTTTATCGCGACGTTGACCATGAGATGCGCAACTGCGAAAGACGGCTACCGAACCGCGAGGCCAGCGCCCGGACTAGCCCGCAGTTTGCCGGACCACGCTCTCGACACCGTCTTTCGCTTCGCGCTCCTAAGGACACATTCCTCGCATGGCAGACCGTAACCTGCTTGCACAACACGGTCGCTGCTACAAGTGCGGTGAACACAGACATCGAATCCCGAGTACACGAACCCACAAACGAAGAGATGTCTCTCCTTACTGGCCGCAGAACAGCGAAAGTGGACCACGCGATTGTGGAATCGGACGACGGCGGGAACATAGTTGTCGAGAGAAAAGAGAAGTCGTAGATCGAAGTCGCGATCTAGGCCGGAAGAAATATCAAAAGGGAATGACAAAACGGACGTGCTCGACAATTTACGTCGCGTTTCTAGAAGCAGTTTAACTTAGGCTGAAGAGTTAGTCTTTTGCCGACTTTTGCTATAGAGATTCAACAGTAACTCTTATATTAGACGCATTACTAAATACCATCATTCTATTAAGTATTCACACTGACCTCGTACACCATCTCTTATCCTTATAGAAAGTATATAGAAAAGAAAGAAATACACTAGGGATTATACTTATGCTATTCTCATAGCAACTCAGGTTGGCAGTCCCAGATAGACCCTCCTAGCATTCTGTCGTGCAAGCCATACTAGGGCAATAGCCATGATTACAGCAGAAGCTACACAATCCCTCATACCCAAGATCCTCTCCAGGGAGTGGGCAGCCTATCTGGCCCGTAGCTGGCGGAGGTGACACTGGATCCCCGTGCTCCGTACATAAGCAGGGACCAGGAGGACAATAGCCGTAGTGGCACGCGAAGCTGCACAGACCCAAGAAATTGTCAGTCTGACCAGCTGCTACAGTGCCGGCGATGCAGGTATCTATTATGGTTTAAAATGTGTTGATGTTAGATTCGCTCGGATTCACATATACCAGTATTCAAAGAATTTGGGAGTATGGGAAGTAAGCCATCACTTACCACTAGAAGTTGGCGTTTGTGGAGTGGTAGATGTAGAGGTCGTCTCTCCGAGCTCCGTCCCTGCATCCGTTGAGGTCTGAGAGGATAATAGAAATGTGGTCGTAGAATCTGTGGTCGTAGGTGAATCTTTGGTCATAGGTGAATCTTTGGTCATAGGTGAATCTGTGATCGTAGATGAATCTGTGGTCGTAGGTGAATCTTTGGATGTAGTTGAGGATGGGGACTGTGTGAATGCCGTCGACTTTGTAGACGCGCTTGAAGTTATGGACACCATGGATTCTGTGGGCGCGCCTAGGGCGATGGATTTTGTTGATGATGCGGGGGATAACCTGTGATGATATTAGTTGGCGTTCTTTGAAGAAGCAGAGCAGAGACAAGAAAGCGCAGTGGTGAACGAGCTGGTATGCGTGGTAATTGGTGACTGGTAGATAAGACCAAGACAGCGCATCAACAACTGAAATCACTAAAGAGGCTCTCTAGCAAATCGCTCTGTCAACCACAACGCTAATAACTGTCTCAACTCGTCTATTCCACCATACTCCGGCGTACCTAGCAGAGCGGGATTTGTTGTGAAGAACGACCCCAAGAGGGACGCCAAGGGCAATGGCCAGGACGAGAAATGAGATGGCTACCGCTAGGATGATCCAGAAGTACCGTCGCTTGCAGCCGCAGATCCGGTCAGAGGCTGTTCGTTCGCCAGCCACTGGCAGTTCGTGCAGTTTGTACTCATGTTGGCTGGGAATCCGCAGGCCTTCATCGGGACGCTGACCGGTAGCGCCAGCGTTCTCATCCAGCAACTCATCATGCGAAGGTGTGACATTGGTTTGTTTGTAGCTGCAAGTCTTCCACTTGTCGGAGACGTACTGACCAGGAACTACCTCGAGCCCACTATCAAACACGACTTCGAGACCATCATCAGGTTCAACTTGGCCGTACTTGACGACGGGCTGTAAGTCGGAATCTTGAACGTGCGATGCCAAGTCAAGAGGCTGGGCACCAAACGGCGCGGTTTTCTCTGGGTTCGACATGGTATTCTGTCTCCACTCTGCCTTCCTCAAGTGTTTCATATACTCTGGCTTTGAGAGGAAAACGTGAAATTGAGAGAGGTAGAGGTGTTCCCGATAATCGGAACGGGTTGCGACTGATAGAATTGTCAACCGGATAATTAAGCCTAGGGACTAGGCGAACCCATAAATTTCACCAACAGCCCCTGAAGGGGGAATTGATAGGGACACCATAGCTTTTGTTAGGGACACCACAAACTATGTAATCTCTGAAATAACGTAATGAAAATGTCATATGGTTCTATCTGGAATTCAGTCTCTGTATGCTTTACATGACCTTTGTGTATGTCCAACTTTCCTATCACCCAAACACATCTTTCTTTGCTGACCACTAGATAAAAAATGGGTTCGACCGCCCCCACCAACCGGATCACATGCCAAGCATCTAGCGTTGAACGCTATACTCGGCCCCAAGTCGGGCCCTCAGCGCTCTCGCTGGTGAGGGCCAGACTTGGGAGCGAGTACATAGACTGAACGGTTCTAACCTGCAGAGCCGATTATGAGATCAAGGGTGTGGAGCAACCACTCTGTACCAGCCATGGGAGGAATAATCCCAATGCACACTCACGGCAGACTTGTCCGCCTATCCGATCGCTTGTTCTATCTTAAGCTCGGTCATTAGAAACTTGATTGACACAAGCTAATCTCATAGTATATAGACAGACCCTATCCTAATTCTCCGATACCTTTCACTTGCTTCTCTCATAGACAACCCCATGACCAAAAACGAAAACCCCCCAGTGCCCGTTCCATCAACAACTGCACTGGCTACGATTTCTAGTAGACCGTACCCTGCCTATCTTGTGCGACACCCATTTTCGTGGCCTCCGGGTCCACTTGGTTCCTGGTCTAGCACTGGCCGCATTCAAACGCCATCATGATTCGCCGAGCCCTGCAAGCAAATCCTGAGACTGATATTAGCGCTTCGCTCTCCTTAGCTCTTTCTGGATGCAACACACCCCCGCGCCGCGTTGAGCGGCTTTGGCCCACTCCCCCAACTGAAGATCGGGCGAGCTAACCGAACCATCGCCATGTGTTTCCATGATAAACGTGGACTGGGAGAAATACGGTTTCTCTGGACATTCCATATAGTGGTATTTGTCATGCAATGACGGTTTTCGTATGTGGCGGGTACGCCACGCTTCAATGCCCAGCGTGGCTTAGAGTATTCTAACAACAAGCCATGTTTTCGCATCTTTCTCTTTGTTCTGTCGAACATTCGCAATTAAATCGATTCTTTTACTCTAGACCCCTTGTGTTTATTACCCCGCATCAACTAGTTACGACCAACAATGACTCTGCGGTTTGAGTTTGGGAGGCATTTTGGAAGAAAATAGTAGACTGAGCCGAAGGAGGCAACCAGTGTTGGCGTCTTGGCTCAGGAGATTTCCAGCCACACCTGTCGTTCCTTAGAAAATGTAATAGTCATCGAGAAACCGTCTTGCTCGCCTATAACGAATTCTTGATCACTCGCGTTGATTTTTCGTGGGACATTTTCTAAAGATCCTAATTGTTCCTCTCCTTCTAGGCGCATATGATTCGGCCAGTGAGAAAGAGGATAATGCGTGCTAGTTCTAGACAGGTATAGCAAGCAAAGTCGTCAAGAGTCCGGAGTAGTACATGCGGACATCAAGATCTTAGGAGGTACATAGTATCGGTGTTGATTTCGAACCTGTTCCTAGCGAAGTTGAAACATCCATACCTGCAAGCCACTACGTGGTATGGGAGAAGGAGAAGAGGAATTAGCCTCGAAACTATGCCCAGTTGTTGGATTTAATGGCATATACGAACCGGATATTGTCTGCCAGGTAGAGCTTTCTCATCTGGGTTGGCAGCGCTCTCAGGCTCGGACTCGCCGAGTAGATGATAGCACGGGTTCAGATTGAGTGACCATGCTCAGGTTTATCATGTAAGAGATGACTGATTCCTGATTCTTCATACTACTATACATCGCTGCTACTCTCACCCTTCGGGAATTCGAATCACCTGATAGTACTCAGATAGCTGATACGGAGAGTCATGGTGGCTGGAACCTACCTGGAACATATGAGGCCATTTCACATTCTTGTGGGTGAGAAGAGAAAATACTAGGGCCCATACTGGGCCCCTCCCTTGTATGGCGCTCGGTACATCCCCAATGCGGTGGCCGGCGATCGTGCAGGCTTACCCATTTGATTACCCCCGCACTATGCTCATAAAGTAATACCTCCATGACATATAATCCGACCGTAACATAATTTCTGAAATTGCACATCATGCAGACCCACCTTCTGGATTTGGTACTATAGAATCTGCCAGAGAACCGGGTGATCTTGTTCAGCCTAGGCGTTGGAGTAATGACCCGAGGCCCTTTTGACGGCGATTATGAATGCTGACAATGGAAAAAGATAGTAATTTACTGGGATAGCCTAATTATCTACAATATTATCTTTCATCCCCTGACTCCGTTTCCGGGCCCCCTTTTGACACAACAACAGGTCGATTCCACCGCGCGGTGAACAACCAGCACAAACGCCACGGTACGACCATGTACCAGTAATCTATTCAATTTCTTAAATGGGCAATAGGCGATGTCGTTCGAATCTCCCCCAATTAGCGCCATTATAATAGGCTGAACATTCCGAAGTGAGCTTTAGTCTGGTTGTTCGAGAGTTCCACGTTGAGCCGATCACGGAATTCCTCTGGAAACTTCCACCCGGGGCTCAATTCCAAGCAATGGCGTTGTGGTTAAACCAGACCTTTCCTCAATAAACATACTACTGGTGTCAGGGCTAGCACTCATTGTTGCGATGATGATGTCGACGAGATGAATGGCAATCTTGATAATTCAATGTATAATTGTTTCTCTACTACAAGGGACTAGAGTATCGTGGAATTCATTGTGTAGGGAGAGCTTGTAACGACAATCATGAATCAATTCTGCTATGATGATTGAATCGCTATAAGGGGGATTATTCGGTGATAAGCTCGCAAGAATGCTCTTCATTAGGGAGGGTTTCTCTACGAGTATCTGATTTATTAATTTACTCACCTCCAAAGTAACTAGCTAGAGCCCCACGAGTTGAGCTATAGGCTACGTTAACGAGTATTCATTTGCGACGACATTATCAAGTAAACGGATCGATCTCGGAAAGGAGAGCGATAGAATTATAAGAATAAGACGTGGTACGAGGATCAGTATAAGTACTTAATAGAATTAATAACTAGTAGTTATCTAGCAATGCGATGAATCAGCAAGATTATGCGTCTTGGCATATCCTGAACGGATTATTGATAGTTAATGGATAGATGGGTAATGGGTAATGGGTAGGACTGACCTACCCGTCCCGCGGTCGAGGAGCCAAAATGGCTACCCGCAGTACTCCCATGGCGAGGCCTAGTTATGTTGGGTCATGCGGAGGTCTAACAATCAGTATCCTTTACCCCTGATCGCGAGCATAAGGAAGCTTCAACGATAACTCTCGTATTATACGCATTGCTAAATACCATGAAATTCTATCAGGTACCCACACTGATCTCGCGCACCACGTCCTTCCCTTGTACTACTACTACTACTATTACTACTATTACTACTATTACTACTATTACTACTATTACTACTATTACTACTATTACTACTATTACTACTATTACTACTATTACTACTATTACTACTATTACTACTATTACTACTATTACTACTATTACTACGCCGTGGGAACCCCTCCGTCGGATTCGATCCCCGATCCTCCAGCACACGCACGCTACCCACTCGCGATTTAGACTGCAGCAGCGAAGCTGCTGCAGCAGGTCGATACCATGATATAGACCAAAGATACAGCATAATTTATGCCGTATGACAGATCACTCTTTTCAGGCTCTCGCAGAGTTTTGCTGGTACCCATTTGGGCCTTGTATAGGGGTTTTCGCGCGCCAGTCGGGTTTTGCACGGGGTTTTGGCGAGGCCTACACCTACGTGAGCCCAGTTGGACCTTCCGTGCCTCAGAGACCTAGGTCAGTATTAAATGATCTGCACGTGTATGACTAACCGAATAGCGGGGTCAACTGGGGTAGTAAGTCTGGGGCCCACTCGACTCTTGGTCAGATCCGAAGGAAACAACGTTCCGGCCTTTGCACGCATACACCCATCCAACATGGATTCGATTGGACCATTGACCGCGAAGAATCTACCCGGTGAGAAGAGCTCAGACCAGCAGCCGCCGCGGAAGAGAGCACGACAGAGCTGTGAGACCTGTAAGGCTAAGAAGACTAAGGTACGAAAAAGGGGTCGATCTTGGTCGGCAGTATGGGTATGCTGATCATGATAGTATAGTGTGTCGGCGTTGGTAAGCTATGCTCCGCGGACTAGGCTATGGCCCATGCAACTGCTTTCTGGATGACTGAAAGTATTTTTTTTAAGAGAATGGCACATGTCAGAACTGTGCACAGCTTGGCACCCAGTGTGAGGTCAATCTCAAGAAGAGAAAGCGCCCTTTTTACCGCATCTCAGAGGAGGTCCATGAGTCGTCCATCGCGCTGCTCCGTCGGTTCGTATCGGAAGAAGAGCTACCGGAGCTCACCGTCGAGGGTATCCAAGCCATCCACGCCAAGCTAGACGAACGCAGTGCTAGTCCTAGAATCTCCAACTCAGTGCAGGTGCAACGACTGACCCGGAGTAACAATGCGGAAGGCCCTGAGAAAAAACCAGCTGAGGGGGAAGTCATGGAGCCAGACGAACATCCCGTCCTCCAAGAAGCGCTCGGCTGCATGGTGCTTGATTCTTTAGGGAAGTACCGCTACGTCGGCCCAGAGTCGTCCATCCGTTGGAATCATGCGGCACGCCTGGCGCAGCAAACTTCTCTCAACACCGATCCAAAAATCATAGCCCCATTGAAAACAGGTTTACTCCCGCCCAAGACACCGGAGAGCTTCAGCAGTGCATGTAGAAGAGAGGTCTACCTGCCACCAAGGGACCTGTGCATGCGCTACGCGGAGCATTTTTTCCAGGAGATACATTGCTTGTATTGGTTCTACTCCTTGGAGCAGTTCTACAGTCTGCTAGACCAGACCTTAGAGGATCGGGGAATAGGAATGAGCGCGTCCTGGCTTTGCTCTCTGTATTCGATCTTCGCGATCGGCAGTATGACGCCCGTCAATCAAGAAACGCAGACAGGGAGCGGGGCGGAAGGGATCGTGAGGCAGGCGGCTGATTACCTGGCTTTGGCGAAAGAACTGTCACCCGAAGTAAGCGACGAGGCGGATGTCGAGAGTGTGAAAGCTTCTGGTCTGTTGGTACGCGGCGTATTTCTCTGAGCATCGAGTGATTGCATTACTCACCAATTGTCGCAGAGTTTGGCCATGCATGCAATGTGTTATAGCGTTGGGGCATATTTACACTTGGGAACAGCCGTGAGAATCGGGTTCTCTCTTGGTCTACACCGAAGTATTTCTCCCCGGACGAGTAATTCGGTTGAACGCGAGAGAGGGAGACGACTATGGTGGACAATCTACACACTAGATCATGAAATGGCGATTCGCTTCGGCTATCCGCGTGCGATTGGTGATGATGCTGGTTTCATGAACACGCCACTGTCATCGGAACAGGTACGGGGCATGAACACCGCAATTCGGCTCACGTACGCCTTTTGCTAATATTTCATCATATACCCAGATCATGGACCCGGGGCCGAATATGCCACTAGGATACCAGGCACTCTCGGTCTCGCTGGTCCAACTCCGGAGAAAGATCAGCCATAGCTGTTTCGTAGAACCCGCCCAAGTCGGTGGCCGACTGCCGATGAGTCGTGTCTTTGAGAGCCTGAAAGCCCTCAAATGCTGGCTTACCGAAGTGCCTCCGTACCTCAGTTGGGACTCTTCCCAACCCCCACAACACCGTCGACCGGTGTCAATCCTACACTTAAGGTACTACAGTTCTATCATCTTCGTCACGCGTCCTTTCCTCCTCTTTATCGGCTCTCGTCAATCTTCCGTCAAGCATAATGGCAAAGCGCGATGCTATGAGGAGCTCAGCGGCAAATGCATCGAAGCCGCGGAGCGCTCCGTGGCCATCCTCAAGCGCATGGTGAATGACCGGACGCTGTCCAGTCGGATTTTATTTGACTGCCATTGCATAGTGGAGATAGTGTGGATTTTGATATTAGCCGTGCAGAAGCTCAGTCGACCGGAGCATCAGCAGCTGCTGGGCTTCTGTCTTGAGACTGTAAGTGGCATGGAAAAGATCGGATGGTGCGAAAAAGTCTCGCCAGAATTGGAAGCGAGAGTCCACGAGAGCCGCGCCCTGGAGCCGCGTCAAGAGGCGCATCATCAAGCGAGTAACCTTTCGCATCAAGCCCGTCCGGATGGAGCCACGGGGCAGATTGTGTATCCTGAAACAGGAGCTCTTTGCCTGGATGACACTGACTTGTAAGGCCTCTTGCTTTGTTCCTTTGGAGAGAGTTTGTTTAACAAGGTCTCACAGTAATCTGAATATGTCCGAATTTGACGTGCTCGAAACGCTGGACCTGAATGCTCAATCAGGCCTGATTGATATCCTCGCAGATGGGACATTATCCGCCTCTCAGTTCGGCTTCTGAAGACGCCCTGGTTCTTCGAATCGAAGCAACGTTCCTTACGTCTCGATTGTAAAACCTCCTCACTTCACTTCGATTGACCATATATTGTTGTTTCGTATGTTGAACCACGTGTAAATAAATACATATTTGGCGTAAATCTCCTTGAAATTATTTAAAATCAATTACCGCTAACATTGCCATTCCGCCTTTGCTGCCACGGCAGTGGCTGGCTCGAAGCCTTGACAGGGCCCAACTCTCGCTCCCGCTTCTTCTTCCATGCCTTGATCTCGCTCTCTTCCACGAAATTTCCGTGAAGGCCGAGCCTCAGCTTGAACGGCAAATGAATCACCGCAACGGGGCCCTGAGCGATCTTCTTAGCATTGAATATACACACGTCATTTCGCAGCACATCCAGATGATTCATCAGCGCGATCAGGTAACCATCTCCCTCCTCGGTGCTTCCCGCCCGTGGAATGAATGCGGGCTCCTGGAAGGTGGCACATGGCCCCGCCCAGAACGTCTCACGGACGGATCCGTCCCAAGTGAAGTGGCCCAGACTGTTGAAGAGGCCGCCTGCTGGGCTTCCGCACTTGGCAAAGTCGTACGGCTGGCTTGTATCGATGATGGCTTGCCAGTAGTGATTGTACTTCATGGTAGTGAAGCGGTCGTCGATACGCGAGAACTCGCCTGAATACGTGTCGAGTTCCTCGGCGGGATCTACCCACGAGTTCGTTGGTGTATTGGGGTCGAAAATCCAGCGCGTGGTCTTGTTCTGCAGCTTGTTGCGCTTGGCGACGGTGCCTATTGGGGTATTCACGGGAGGGAAGAAGAAGAAGACGTTACCGTCGGCGATGGTGAGATCAAAGACGACTTTGCCGCCGGGGGTTTCGTAGCAACTGACTGTGTGGCCCTGGAAGGCTTTTGGGATTGTCAGTCGAAAATGAATACTAGTAAGGTGAACAGTCTTAGGTTCGCACCATTCTTTGAACGGTACCATCGGATGTCTTCTGGCATTCCTCCTCGACGAGGCACAAGTCCATACCACTGGTCTTCCTTCGGATCCCATGCCCAATGGTTCTCTCCATCCTTTAGACGCCTAGGATTGCACTTGAGCGGTGTCATAGGAAGGACAACCCAGTTATCACTAATGCCACAATCGTGGATGATGCCGCAAAAGGGTGCCTCGTACCAACACTCCTCGGTCTTGACTCCATCTTGGTTAATGGTATACACCACAATATCGCGGGAGCCATCATTGCCGTCACCACCAGCCTACATTTCTCCGTTAGCAAATTTCCTACATAACCTAGAGAAGGGGCCATTAAGCGTACTTCATAACCGTAGCACACCATCTCCCCGGTTTTGGGATCAAATTTGGGATGCGCCGTAAAGGTTGGACTCAGCACCTGGCCCTCAAAGTCATAGCGGCCCACTGTATCCAGAGTTTCGGGGTCCATCGCATACGGAGGTCCATCCTCCTTGGTTGCGAGCAACATGCCTCTCCAGAAGAAGATGTTCGTATTCGCGGCTGTGCGAATCACCCCCTTGACGGCTTCATTATCTGTGTACGGATTGCGATACCTCCCAAAGAGCGATTTACCCGCTGCACTCTCAGCCTCGTACCGATCCGTGCGAACGTACCGCTGCTTGAAATGGGCAGCTCCGTTCGCGATGCGGATCGCAGTTACGTTCCCATCGCCATTAAAATGGATGTCGGACTGGAAGATGGGTGGGAAGCGGTGGTCTGGCTGGATGCGGAAGAAGGTTCCTTCGATATCCCTCGGAACTTCACCTGTCACCTCGAGGTTCTCAATATCACCTTCGATGCGCGAGGGTCTGTTAAAACCGTGGAATACTTCGGTTGTGGGGAATTTGAGTTGCGAACTGGACTTTTGGCCGTTCGAGTAGTTCGGAGCCTGGGTGAGGGACTCGGCGAGTTCGAATACATGCGCCATATCTTTGTTACGAACAGGGAAATAGAAGTTGAAACCTGAATATGTCTAGAAACAATGAGGTTTTCGCAGAAGATGCCGCAACGGCATCCTTCAGTAGATATTCATAGGTCATGTTCCTGGAACAGGAGCGGCACCCAGTTTGCCGAAGCAGCGAACCCAAAGTCCAGGCAATCCAACACTGGCTGATCCATCTTCCGAGAGTCGCGAGAGAATGGTGCGGGGCTGAAGCCGGGAATAACAACGCCCGGATGCAACGAGCCGACCAAAGAGGCTGACTAACTTACGTGCAGCTAAGTTAGTCAACTTCTTCTCAGCCGGGGGAGATGATCATTCTTTTGGCATCCGGGAGACTTAAGGAATTGCCACGGGAGCATGATTGGCGCATATTCTGCTCACGAAAATGTGAAACACACTCCGTGAATGGTGTTGATTGGTGTCGCTACGGAGGTTCTTCTGCGTCGATTGTTTACTCTACTCTGTACCCGTCAGGGGCCACCGTACGTCTACGTTCTTCGACGCCCAAGTCCCCGAATGACCTCATCGAACTATTGCGGTATCTGCCGGGGAATCGCTCGTTTCCAATGGCACGTCGGCTCACGTTGTATTCGTCACGTTTCGCTGGTAGGAATTCACCTCGCCAGGCCCATCAAATTGGGGGGAAAAAAGCCCCTGTAAACGAGATCGATAGACAAGAGCTTATTGATGAACAACTCCCCAGAAGAGTGCAATCTTGTGCAAAACGCATATCGGATTCAACAATGAAGTGGCCTCTCCTGAGGTTCAAGTAGTCTCGAAGCGATACAGTTCTTCAGCTCAACCCCGCCCTGTCTCTAATGAATATACCACGCAAGATCTTTCTTTTCGACATCCTTGCGCGAAAGTCCACGACCCAGATATTCAAACCGGTTCCCATGATCGTACGTAAATTCAAAATCCTGCAGGCGAGGTTCCGCGATACTTTCGAGGAAGTGATTGAGCGAACCGCACCATGGGCCGGTGATTCGGCCATTAGAGGTTCCGCCCTTGTACCTGAGAAACGGTCAGAATATCATCGTAAGCTATTTTGTGCAGTCACAATGCTGTGGGACCTTACCAGCTGTTGCAGTTCCCGGAGAAGGTCAACAGTTCCATGACTGCATCTTTGTGGTCGTTAAATTCGGTGGTCGCTTGCTGGCTAACTACAACAGACTTGACACTCTCCCTCTGGATCTTTTTGGCAAAAGTTAGGGCAAACTCTAGTTGACTTTCGATAGCAGGCATTAGGGAGCCATTCGAGATTGGTGTGTTCGGTCCCACGACCACTGTAACAAGGATGACGTATGAGAATGTGCGCAAAGCTTCGCCTTTACTTAGAGTGTACTCACTGAAGTAATTGGGCATGTCGGGAACGGCACAAGTCAAGTAGGCTTCTGCGCCCGTCTGCGCCCATCGCTTCCCCAAATCGACACCATTCCGTCCCACGAGCGGGAATGGAGGAACATAGGACGTGTCATAACCAGTGGCTGCGATGATCACATCCACAGCATGACTGATTCCATCGGCAGTGACTATGCTCTCTTCGTTGACCTCTTGGATACGGGTTCGTACAACTTGAACATTGGGTTCCTGTAGTGCCTCTAGGTAGCCATCGCCGGGGGTAACACTATTTGGTTGTTAGCATAAACCTCATGCCGCAACATTGGCAGTTTCTCACCGTCGACAGCCGACGTCAAAATCTGGAATGAGCTTCTCGCGAAGCTCTGGATCCATCTTTGAGAGTCTCTCCCGCATTCCCTTCTCCACGATCGCTCTCGACGCCTTCTGCTCTTCCGAGCCCTTGTAGAAATTGGGAAACCGAGAGTTGATTACCTGATCAATTTCCTGTCGATATTTGAGGAGTTGCTCTGGGTCATTGCGGAATCTCTCCTTTTCCTCCTCGGTATACATCGTTTGTCTACCAGCTGATGCTAGATGGCCGGCAAACTGGGGGGCAATCCAGGTTGGGGATCTGTTGAAACTGATGAGGGCCTTGACAACTAGGTTTTTGTTGAGCATTTCTGGGAGTCTAAATTGGGATGGAGACAGCATGCTTACTAGGTTGGATGGTAGGGACGATCTGGATTCCGGACGATCCTGCACCGATGACACCGACAGTCTTTCCTGCCAGGTCCAGTTCCTGAGGATAGCGGGCACTGTGTACGAGCGTTCCTCCAAAGGACTGAAGGCCCTGAATATCAGGCCACTTCCACTTACTGGCAGTTTCTTCCGTCAGCAGGAACTCCCAATTTGCAGGAAGCGACTTACTTCAACACTCCCGCGCAGTTGATGAGGACCTCCGCCGAGTCCTCTGTTGCCAGGCCAGTCTTCAGATCTTCGACCTTGATCATCCATCTCCCATTCTCTTCGTTCCACGTTGCTCCAACGACTTTGTGGTTGAACTTCGTCGTCTCATAGACTCCGTACTCTTCGGCCCTGTCGCGGTAGAATTTCCAAATTTCCTCGGCGCCGGCATATCTACCACATAGTCAATGTAAGCGCCACAGGAGCGAAATAATATACGTATGGCTACCGACAATCTCGACCAGTTTGGGTTGCCCACCCAAGGGTACGTGTACGAATGGGCCGGGATATCGCACGAGCAACCGGGGTATCGCGACTCGAACCATGTGCCACCAACGTCCTCGTTCTTTTCGTAGATCTGATACTCCACATTCTCCAGCGCCTTGATCTTGTATGCAAAGGCAATTCCCGAGATTCCCGCCCCAATGACGATGATTCGGATGCGGCGGGGTTGGTGGATAGTCTGGTCTTTGACCACGGCTGCAGCAATGGACCCCATGATGGTGAGAGGTTCGGAGAAAAGGTAGACTAATAGGGGCAAACGATATTCATAATTGGTGAATCTGGGGGAGTTAAAGCATTTTCAAGACATGCACTCTCTCATCGCACAGCAGGAGGAATGCAGAGAGGCCCCTCTGTGGCGGACATATGCAGCCGAGCCCCTTACAATCCCTATCACTACAGCCTATTTCCAGGAAGTTCAGAGACTGTCCGTGGGAAGTTAATCCGAGCTCCTCTCCGGCTCGTGCATGGAAGTATGCCTCCGCCCGTCCAAGGAAAAGATCCACTGCACTGCCGCTAAACGGGATCTTATTTTGGACTCTCTCAGTATTCAGCCATTTCTTGATTACCGCGTTCAAGAAATGCCACAGCCACGTTCGACCATCCTCTGAAGCGCGGTGGCAAATACAGGCATCTGGTGGAGATGCGGAACTTCGATACAGGAACAAACATAGTTTGGGCCAGTCCCGGCGCCATAATTCCGATATCAGTCAGCAGCGCGGCTTGTTAGCGCCGACGGGAAACGGGGGGTACGGACGAAGTTTCCTTGAGCCGGAAGCCATCGCTATGTCTAGTCAACAAAGTATGGTCTGCTAAGACCCGAGGGCCATTCCCTGGCAGCACATCGGGGAACTAGAAGCCAGCCTTAAGGAGGTAAAGAATTATTTTCACTGGGACCTGAGTATCTGGTTCGCTGTTCTCAGCCTGTGCACTTTAGCAACAAGCACTTCTTTAAAAAATGAATTAAGAGTGTTTCTCTCGCCTTATTAGAGGTAATTGATTTAATAAGTGGTTATTATATGATTCAGAGCAATATTTCCTTTTTATTTACGACTTTGAAATATATACACATATATCTATAGTATATGTCTCGCTCCGGTTGGATATCCTGAACACAGTCTGTTAATGGTGGGCAGTCGATGAGGTCGGCTGATGCCAAGTCTCCTGCTTAGTTATTGCTTGCAGGGTTAAGTTAACTATATAGTTACCTGGGCTGCAGCTTGGTAAGAATATATTACTTTACCGCATGGGTTGAAATTGATACTCGGGTTTTGCTCCTAGGTACCCACGGAGGACCAACTCCCATTCGCGCAGTGTTGCGTCCAAAGAAGCGGAAGATTCTATGTCTTCAAAATGACACATTTAAGATCACAGGCGCTTAATTTAGTACAGGGGTGAAGTAGTAGGTCGATGCGAGACGGACGTGGAAGTCAGCGGACTGACTGATTAGGTGAAGACGAAGTGTTTCGAAATATATTGTGGCGTGAACATCGGACTTTTGGACCTGTCTGTGCTTTGGTATTTTGTAAGGTCCGATTCCGATATATATTCTTCCTTGCGTCTCCTGTATTTACTCCTCAGCTGCCATACATATCGCCGTAGGGGATGAACCAGAGTAAATGGAACTCTCTCTCTCTCTGTTGATCATTCTCATTATTGCGCGAATAGCGAAAAATTATGAGCAAGATTCGCTCCCTTTATGTAAGGGCCGGTTACTCAAACAGCCTCCCAGGAAATCAGAATTACTTCTCCTCAAAAATCAGGTTCAACGGCGCTACTCCCAAAGTAAAATGATCCTTTGTCTCAGTCACTAGGGGTGTTCCATCCTCTCCAGGGGCAAACTTGACAGCCGAGAAGCTGTGTATGAAGTAGGTGAGGAGGTCTCGCATCTCCGTCAGCGCCAGTGCTCTGCCAATACATCCGTTTGTGCCTAAGATCGTATTAGAAACTTGAACAGTTTGCAAAATCAGCATTTGCTTACCAATATTCCAAGTCAGGAACGCGTCTCGATTCTTGATCAGTTCCGGCTTCGAGTACCACCGTTCGGGGATGAATTCCTCCGCGTGTGTGTAGTTAGCCTCATCGCGCTGCATGGCATACACCGGGATTACAATCGTGGCCCCTCCAGGGATATATGTCCCGCTGATTGTTACTCCCTCCGGGGGCGTGACTCGCGGGAATCCCGAGGGGATCGCGGGGTGGAGACGCAGAGCTTCTTGGACTATGCCGTTGAGATGATGCGCTTTAGCCACGTCCTTGGGATCGAGCCGGGGCTTGCCGTTGAGCAATGGCTCCAACTCAGCTCGCAACTTCTCGACCTGCGATGGATCCTTGGCCAAGTGGTAGAAGATGAAAGTCAGAGTTGCAGCAGTGGTGTCGGAACCGCCAACAATGGTCAGTCTAGTATCGCCGCGTAGCCACTGGAAATCGCTATCCTTCTTCTCGGTCTGGTCATAAGCATGAATGAGATGGGCCAAAATCTGTTGCTGTATTAGTGGGAAATCCAAACTTGGCTAGCAATGAAGAAAGCCTTGTGCCTTACATCTCGCTTATCGGACTTCTTCTCCGTACGCTGTTTGACCTGCGAGCCGACAAACTCCAACCAGTTTCTTGTACCCCTTCCAGCCCATGGCATCTTGTGCAGGATAGGTGCCATCCAGGGGATAGGACTCGTGGGGCCGACATGTGCCATACTCGTCTCGAGAAGGACAGGGATCCAACGATTCGTCTCCTCAGTCATCATGTGGAACTCTTTCCCCAATCCCAAATCGCCCATGACATCGAACGCTACAGAGGATTGTCAGGATCTACCCTTTATTTTCAATGGTAGGGCAGTAACAGATAAAAGTACCGAAGTATTTGAACCATGCGGATGCATCAAACGGCTTCCCGCTTAGACGGATCATCTGTCTCACGAATTCCTCACAGTGAACGTACACTCTCTCCTCATATTCGCGAAGAGCGGTGGGACTAAACGCCTTGGTAAAAATCTTCCTCCGGGAATCGTGCACCTTCTTGTCACGAACAGTATGCAGGTTCACAAGTGGCAGGGACCGGTCATACCACGGCCCCTTGAAGCATTTCGACCTATCGCTTAAAACGAGCGCGACGGCCGCCGGATCATTGATGGACAAGTTCGCTGGGCCTGTAACATATCTGTCAGTCAAAGGGGGAAAGTATCTTAGCCTGTGTAAAATGACGATGTTAATGTTGCTTACCAGTCCTGACAATTGGGCCATATTTCTCGTGCATCTTCTTCATCACAAGGTAATTATCCGACTTCCGAATAATATACATATGATAGAAGTTTGATAATCGTGCTAAACAGGGTCCGTTGAATTTGCGCAACGGATGGAATAACACGCGATACAATCCGATGCTGCCATAAAGTCCCACAAAGAACGAAATTGAGGTAAGGACCGTGAGTGCGAATGCAAGCAGCAGTTGGTAATTAGTCAGACGCAGAATACCAACACCCAGGATAGCGATACCAACGAGAGCGCGGGTAAACCATCGATGAGCATACTTGTGATGTTCGCCACGGATGAAGTAGAGAAGATGACTGCAGATGCCTGCAGCTCCCCCAGCAGCACAGTACGTTGTGTAAACCACCACCATTTTGATAATAGTGACTGTGCAATACGTGGTGTCACTCCGGAAGGAGGCCGTGGTCTTTTGAACAACAGTAGCGTCGGGACCCCGCCTGGCTCCGGATCGAACAGATGAACTAGCCTAGCGGCATGGCGGTAGCTATGGGCCTCAAAGCCTGGTTGCGGTGTCTTCATGTTGCCCAGCCGACGGTATCAATGTGCCGCCGACAGACATGGTGGTGTGGTTGCGGTAACTTGCATCCGAGGAGCAAAATTACCTTACCCTGGGTCTCGGGATCATGACACATTACAATGTCAGGTAATGAGTGGCTGATCAATGATCCACTTGGTTCGTCAATAGAGGGTCCTTCTTCCGAAAGACTCAGTCAACCAAACCATCTCTCTCGTTCGAAGGCTCTCCATCGTCCCCTTCGTTCCAGTCTTTGTAGAGCTCATCCGTTTGTTTTTTTTTTTTTTTTTTCTATTCAATTGTCCTAATGAGGTCTCTTGGCTCTCCACGAGGTTTCGCTAATGGCTTGCTTAAGTGGATAACTATCGTAATCCACAACGAGTCAATACAAGCGAGCGAGACAGCCCAAAACACCGTAACAAATGCATTATCTTTATAACTCCATAGTCCAGCAACCACGGATCCTTTTCATTTGATTATTAGAATTGTGTTATTTTTAAGCATATCAAATACTATAGCTTGACTTGAATCGAGGTTAAAGAAGTTTTTACTACGTTGGCGGAAAAAATGATATAGATATTGGAACCTCAAAAGTTTACAGACGTTTCAACCTCATAAACACGCTAGGTATTGTCTAAATATTGCAAAGCTATTGTTAGTGAGATCTCAAGTTTGTAAGATTTCCGACACACTCGCTTGTGATATACGTTAGTTAATACAATGAGGCTCAGGCGCGTGGTCCAAAGGTGAACCCTCGAGTTTGTTCCCAAAGCGGCAGAAGGCTCTCATTCACTGTACATAAGACACTATACTGCGTACACAGAGATTGAAAATTCCGAGAGTAATCCACTTACTGGGCCACCTCAACGTGCGCTTCGGTGGGATCGTCCTCAGCCTTGACAACCTTCCTACCCCTCTCCTGTGCTTCTAGGTTCTCTATACACACATAATTGGAGAATTTTCTCGTGGGCACATTGTTCCGGAACATCTCATCAATCTCCTCGAGGGTCCGGCCTCGCACTTCAGGTAAGTAATACCACACGAATGCAGTGACTATAAGGCCGCTCCCGAACCACACGTACCCATACTTGGGACCCCAGTTAAGCACTGTCGGGTTAATAAAGTAAGGCGTGGTAAAGGCGGTCAACCACCCAAAGAAAAAGCTGACAGTGCTCGACAAGCCCAGGGTATAGCCACGGAGATGCTGGGAAGGCATCTCACCGGCAACGAGATAGACGTAAGGTTCTAGGCCAAAATTGAAGCCGAATACATACACCGACACGAGAACGATGAGAGCAATGTCCGCACTGGCTTTGTCGACATTAGTTGCGGAGTAAACGGCGGCCATGATGAGCATGCTGATAGTGCAAAGAGCACAACCTGCAACAATGATGTACCGACGGCCAACGTGTGTGACAACCGCCCAGGTTACAAACAGACCAGCGAGACCAATACAGTTGGTGACGATAATCCATTGGAACGGGTTAGCGACTTCAGCCTAAACTGTTGTGAGCTGCTTTTGGACTGTTTCTAATGCTTATTTTTGAAACGCGCCGAGACTTACCACTTCGAAAAAGTAGGTACCAAATGCCAGAACGAACATGCCCCCTACACCAGCATTTGCAGTGCCAACACCGACGGCAATCATCGTCCGTCGCAAATCAGGACCGCGGAAGAGTTTGAAGAATGTATTCCAGCTTGTCTGGATTTCCATCTCGCGTCTTGCAGCGGCCTTCATCTCTTCAAACTCCTCCCGCAGTGCAACTTCATTGTAAGTGCCCTTGCGGAAAAATTGCAGGCTGCGGAGGGCCTCTTCGGGCTTTTCACGATGCAGTAGCCAGCGTGGGGTCTCAGGGAAGAATGGCAGTGTCAGAATGAGGATGACTGGAACCGGGTAACAGACGTAGAGGGGGATCTGATAGGCTTGGCGGCTCATAATGCTGGCGGTTTCATTGTTGACTACCTACTCCCCTTATTAGCACGGCTTTTCACCAAAGGCAGGTTTGTTCTTTTTGGATGACGAACCATGCCGATCGTCGTTCCAATCGCTATCCAGCACGTCACCATACTCAAGCATAGACCACGGAAGTATGCGGGTGTGCACTCCTGCAGGTACAACACTGTAAAGTTCAGTAGCATGCCATTGCCGATACCAATGAGGATTCTAGAAAAGTAGAGTGCTCCCATCGAGGTTGTCTCAGACATGATGACCGTCGAGACAACCACGATTATCGACCCCAACATTAAGGCGTAGCGGCGCCCGACGTAAGAACCAATGAATCCGGTTGACGCGGAGCCGATGATATTGCCCAGGATCATAAACGAGGAGATAATCTGCTGGGGCCCGGACTAGTCATCGTAAAATGTCAGAATAAATTAACAGCGAAGAGGACAGGGTGTGAGTTACATGGATAGCCCATTCTCCGTCCAGAGTCTGGTAGCCAAAAACCTGTAGGAAACCTGGCATGGCCTGGAAGCCCGCAATGGCGCCCTTGTCAAAACCATACTCGAAGAGCGAAGTGCCCAAGTACAGCGTGATGGCGAAGATACGCCAGTTTGCCTTCAAGCTAGTGTCGCGACGGCCCTCGCCAAAAAATTGTTGCTCCCTGTCTGCGATACCGGGAGACATATTGGAGCCAACAGTGGGAACGTCTGCTCAAAGGTTATAATCAAGAGACCACAAGGAGGCACGTAACGACTACGCGAAGCCAAAAATGGGGTGAATTGAGATAATGGACGGAGTTGTCGTGTCTTTTCCTCTCCCGATGCCACGCAGAGACCCCATCCCTTTTATGAATTGGGGTGATCTGGAGTACTTTGAATTAAGGCTAACTGATCTACTAGATACTGTAGCAGGCCCCCGGACTCTTTAGAGTTCATATTGGAGTTGGCTGCGGGGTAGCGCCAAAGTCGCGTTTTAATCTTGGGTACAATCCGGTTATTGAAGAGGTGGGGAGATTATGAGTTAGGCGGCGAGCCTTTTAGCAATGTATGATTGGCGGCTGTGTTTATTGCCGGTTTGTCTCCGGAGACAATCTTCCTGGTCTGGCAACGTACAACGGCCCCGGCTGAAAGCCTCCGGGGCCATCTCTCCGACGGGAATGTTCCAAGTCGGATCCTACGGTAGGAGTTAATGAGGGGCCAATGGAGGGGCAATGCGCTAAGCAATTTAATCTGCGGTCTTTTCCCTCGGAGCCAAGGTTGTTGAAGCTCCAAGGCTCAATCCCAAATCACCATGGCCACGTACTCCCCCTTGGCACCTTTCTCGTTGGCTCTCAATGACAAGGAAAATGCAATGGCCAACGAGGTCCTCTCCACATGGAGGACAACGGCCGAACGTACAGCAACAGTCGAAATCCTGCCACCGGGACTCGACGCCGTGACATGGGCCGGCGTGCTCGGGGAATTTAAATCAGTCCTCGGAGACGAAGGCGTCTTAACTGGGCATGAGCATCGTGTCCGCTACAACGACCCATATTCGGAGGAATCCGATGAGCAGGAGAAACGCGGAAGCTCGGCGACCCTGTTTCCTGTCACCGTCGAGCATATCCAGGTTGTTCTGAAGATCTGCAACAAGCACAAGATTCCCCTGTGGACTGTGTCGCGGGGGAAAAACCTGGGATACGGTGGCCCGGCCGCAAGGGTAAAGGTATGACAAGCAGTCCTCCCTACCGTCATACGAAGAACTGCAGACTAAGCGTTACCATCCTAGGGTTCCATCATTCTCGACCTCCAATGTATGCGCAAAGTGATCGAAATCAACGACTGCTACTCCTATTACACCGTCGAGCCTGGTGTCACCTTCTGCGACATCTACCAGGCCATCCAAGAACAAAAGAAAAACATCTGGTGCTCCGTGCCTGCCCTAGGCTGGGGTTCGGTCGTCGGCAACGCTTTGGATAGGGGTTGGGGATATACCCCAGCGGGCGATCACTCGAACCAAATATGTGGTATTGAGGTGGTGCTGGCAGATGGCAACGTTGTACGGACTGGTGCTGGTGCGATTGACAAGTCACCGTGCTGGCCGCTGTTCCGTGGCGGCTATGGGCCCACATACGAGAGCATGTTCAGTCAAAGCAACTTCGGTATCGTAACAAAGCTTACGCTTTGGGCATCGCCCAGTCCGGAGGGCTTCATGGCTTGTCGCATTGATGTCGAGAATGAGAAGGATCTGTCACCACTGATAGATGGATTCCGCAATCTGCTGCTTCGCGATATAATTCAAAACCACCCCTTGATCGGGAATATCCCGCGCGAGATGGTCAAGCGTGGACAGCGCCAGGACTTTTATGATGGCCAAGGTACGGTCCCAGATGGCCAATTGAAAAAGATCCAAAAGCAGCTAGGGATTGGGTTCTGGTCCGCGAGATTTGGATTATATGGACCTAAGGAAATGATCGAATACAACTGGAAGAGATGTCAAAAGGTCTTCGACAAACTTTCCGGTGCGAAGCTTACAGGCAAAGCGTACTATCCTCCTGAGGGTAGCGAGACTTTGAGTCCGGAAGATATTCCCTTTCCAGAGCGCACTGTCGAGACTGGCACTCCCAGTCTCATGGCTTTAAAGGCCGTCGAGTATCGCGGCAAGGATGGGTACGTATACGATCCGCCAAACGTAAGCCTTGTTCGGTGCTGACCAAAATTTCAGTGGTCATATCTCATTTTCCCCTGTTCTACCACCCGATGGCAGCTGCGCTATGGCATTCTATCGTGATGTGAAGCCCCTGTGTGCCCAATATGGCTTCGACTATTTTGGTGGCCTCCATCTCTACCCCCGCCATCTCACTATGATCAACATGATCTACTTCGACCGCACGTCGAACTCCGAGCGTTCCAATGCCAACAAACTCTTTGTGGATCTTGTGGATCTTGCACGAAAACACGGATACAGCGAGTACCGTGCCCACATCGACTACATGGATCTTGTTGCCGATCAGTATGATTTCAACGGTTGCAGCTTGCGGGCGCTGAACGAGCGGATTAAAGATGCTCTGGACCCGAATGGAATCTTAAGCCCCGGGAAGCAGGGCATTTGGCCGAAGCAATATAGAAAGGAGAACAAGACATTTTAAATCAGGAACAGAAACCGGAACGGTTCTGTTCGCTGTATAATTACACTGGATCATTGTTGTGGAATTATTCTGTACTTTTAATATGTATGGAAATAGACACGTTGTTGCAACTAACAATAACACGCTCTAAGTCACCTGAGTCACTAATTAGGCAGCGCTCTTTGTGTGTGTGTGTGTGTGTGTGTGTGTTTGCTGCTGCCCTTGCTTGTATTCTATCTATATAGCAAAAGTTGGGGAAATGCTCACCTTTCAAACTCCATATTTTCTAACTATTTTTATGTAGGTGTGTGGGGTTCGATTAGCGCTATAAGGCGGTATATCCTATGTTTGGATCAGATGCGTGTTGGTAGCGCTACGGTGGTTCAAACATTATCATCGACTTTTAATATATCGCGCTATACCCGACATAGGGATTAACCGTTATCCTGTCATTTTACTATTCCTTAACTAAATCTCTTCAAATCTTACGCGAGGCATTTTAGGCCATATATAAATTATGTATTCAATATGGAAGTCATTCAGATGTCTTGAAGGCAGGTTAATATTTACCCCTAAAGCCTTAAATCCCAATGCAGAATCGGCTGTGATCCCGTCATTGCTACGTAATCGGACTCTACTAGTTCCCACCATTCTTGACCGTCTGGACCACATCAAGGATGTACCGCAGAAGCTGCACGCGCTAGAGTCTTTCTGAGTGGCCACCCAGAGTGAGTCGGCTTGGTCATACCGGTACAAGTCGCCGTACCAAGCAGACAGGATGTCGAAGAGCATCAAAACCTGCATGCAGTGGTAAATGAGCTAGTTTGGCCGCATCAACGGCAAGTTTGGCACAGTTGAATATATGTCTATGCATTTCCTTCACAAATCTGTCGATTGTGATGAGCTCTTGCGCTCTCCGCCGTGTCTGATGCTTGCATCGTGCCTTCACGCATGGCGGAATGAACTGGTTGCCTAGGAGCACATGGTGTCTCAGCCGAAGCGTCACGGCATTTTGTACTTGTCCGAGTTCTCAGGCGCTGCACAGAGTCTTAATGGCAGCATGATTTTTAACCCTTGAAATTTCGGACGAGCTGGCGGATGCATATAGGAAGGCTGTCACCATGAACGATGAGCAGCGCCCTTAAATTCGCCAAGCTCGACAAATACTGTCCAAGTATATCAGGTAAGATCATCGATATTCTCCAAACTATGACACGGGAGCTAATGTCATTTCCAGTGCATTTTGGGTCAGACATTAGTCACCGAGCTCACCCTGATGTCAGCTCGATTAGCCGATAATTTATTACAAGCCACGAAAGTGGCCGTGGCAAAGCAAGCAGGGGCGACTTCCTGAGACTTCCCCGCGGTATATTTGCATCGTACGAAATTTAAGAGCTCTTGATGAATCCATATGGCGAACTGTATTCTGCTTTTGCCTTTCATGCTGCGCAGGACATTTGCTTTTTACAATTGGAAGTCTTTCTAAAATATCTTTTGGGTGCGATAATCATTCGGTGCCCAGGCCATTGTCCCCTCTAATATTGACTATAGCCGGGACATAAGATTCAATAGGTAAAGCAGGAGATAATCAAAAGCCAGACATGCGCTCATCAGCCGAGATACAAACTCGTTTCTTGTACAATCCTGACGTTCATTTGACGGCTATGAACGGTTTCTCATGCCAGCCAATCAAGCAGATAACCTGCTGACCGCATTTTTAACCCGCCAGTGCAAACCTTTTACTTGTGATACTGGGCGCGCAAACGTAGGTTTCTGGACTGAGTAGAAAGCCGGGTCCTACGACGTCAAAGGGAATAATGAGCTAGGAGAACTCAATAAACAAGGTTGTTGAATTTATTTATGACGTATACTGAGGGGTTTGGAGATAGGTTTTGCATCACGGATTTCGGATCATCCGAAATCCAGTGTCATAAGATCGACCTCATATCCTGGAAACAAGCTCAGGGCTAGAACCGTCCCTATCACTGACCCAGATTACAGATACGATTGGCCGAGTTATTTTGCAGAAGCTCGTTGTTTTTCCGAGGCTCGAGCTTCGCGTCAGTCTCATCGGCTAGGCAAGCTGCTGAATGCGGCGCAGAGCCGGCTGTGGCATTTGAATAACGGAGCCGGCGATTCACCACTAAAATACCCAAGCGTAACCACAACTCAGGCCCAACGGAAATTTCCTCAGTCAAGTTTTACTTCCTTCTTCCTTGATTAACCATATTTCATAATGCCGCAACTTAAAAGACGTATATCAAGCATTATAAAACACGCCCATGTCTCCCGTATCGGATCTAAACCCCACTCATACGGCCAGTTACGAGATCTCTTCTATTTCTAGTCGAAGATAATACTAAGATCGTGATGAGCCCTCACCCTCTTCAAGCTCTCGGTGAAGCAGCTGGCTCCATTGGGATCGATCCTAGGGCCACGCAGCTTTCTTCATTGTTCCAAGGGGCCAATGACGGTCCCGCGAGAACAGCGGCAAAGTTGACCGGTGTGCAAGTTCCAGGAAAGAGAATGGACGACGGTCCCTACTTCACGAGTAACGAGGTGAATTTCCCGACCTGGCTCGAAACCCTCGTGGGTTCGCAATAAAATTCTACACGGGGGAGGGTAATTAAGATATTGTCGGTTTGAACTTTGTGGGTATATTTGTGCTGTTCAGTATGGTCTGCTGCTGACTATCCGTAGCCTGTTTTCTTTTGTCGCGATCCTATTCAGGGCCCGGACGTGATTCGCTCTCAGTATCGGAACCCGCAGAATTTCTTACTTGATCACAACTCACTGTTTGATCTCCTAGCCAACACTCCAGAAGGGTATGAAAAGATTTGGAGAGTAAATTCGAAGAACGTTCTAACATCAGCGTAGTAATCATGCTGGAATGATGTTTTTCAGTGATCATGGTACGCCGGTGGGATGGAGACACAACCACGGATACGGTTGCCATACATTCAGATGGTAGGCTTACATATAACTGTGTTCACATATGTCGATCTCGCTGATCGCGCTTTAACAGGGTTAACGCGGATGGAAAATTTATCTATATCAAGTATCACTTCCTCGCCAATCACGGTCAGAAGCAGTTTACTGCGGATGAGGCGACGCGGCTCAGCGGCGAAGATCCTGATTTCTCAAAGCGAGACCTTTGGCGCACCATTGAGAAAGGCGAGGAGATTATCTGGACAGCTCATGTTCAGATCATGCAGCCCGAAGATGCCGATCCAGAGAAACTCGGTTTTGACCCCTTTGATGTTACTAAAATTTGGCCCAAGGCTCAGTTCCCGGTATGATACGCTGTTACTTGATAATAATCACTTGCTAATCGAAAGAAACACCCAGTTGCACGAGTTTGGAAAATTAGTGCTGAATCGTAACCCGGAAAATTTCCACAGAGACGTTGAGTAGGCTGCATTTTCACCTGGCAGCATGGTCCCGGGAATTGAAGACAGCCCAGATCCTCTTCTTCAGTTCCGTACCTTCTTCTATCGCGATGCACAACTTCACCGAATTGGGGTAAACTGGCATCAGATTCCAGGTAAGAGTTTTATCTTTTCTTGGAAAGCCCCTCATACTAACCATAGCCTTAGTCAACTGCCCTTTCATAGCATCCTCATACGCTTCTTTGAACTTCGATGGTCAGATGAGAGTCGACGCTAATCACGCTATGAACCCCCAGTACGCACCGAACAGCTTTGTCAGCAAGTTCCGTCCTGATACCGCTGAAGCTCCCTATCAGCTTGCGGATAACACTTTCGGTCGCAAGTCCCACTTCTACCATGAAGGCAGCCCATCCGAGTACGAACAGCCTCGAGCGCTCTATGAGAAGGTTATGACCAGCGAGGCTCGAGGCCATCTGCACTCGAATACTGCCACCATGCTTAAGAAAGTGGAGTACCCTGTCATTTAAGTGAAATATTTAGCACAATTGTTTCGGGTTTCGCCTGCATATGCCCAGGGCGTGTACGATCTGTTGCCGGAGAAACCCTTCGGTTTCGATGAGGTGGAGAAGTCCTCGCGGGGGGCCGAGAAGGTGGGCAAAGATCCAAAGTTCTGTCCAAGTGCAGGGACGGATAAGTTGTTGGGACAATGCCCCGTGGCAAAGGTGTACAGCGCTTAATATAGCCCCGGGCATGGTCAATAGAGTCTGGCAGTATTTTTCATATTTTCACAACGAATTTTGGCATACGTCTCCGGCCATATTTCATCGGTTTCCACATGGAGGTCTCCTCGTCGTGGCATATAGTTGGTATTTGTCGGCATGCCAGCTTGGGAAACCATGGACAAAAGCTTGTACAGCACTAAACTGCTTTGATTTTTGTCATTCTTGGTATTATGCGTTGATCTCGCTTACTATGCGTTCTGCATTATAAAAGGGATATTTAGATTTTACTCAGAATGCCATAAATCTTCTATCTTGATGATTTTGGCCACATTCCCACATTTAAGACCAGGTAATGAGTGGCCGATCAAGTGTCAGCTAGTGCTCAACACTTCGGCAGAACGCGCGAAGTAGATCGGATGGGTCGAAATTTCTTCAAGTCCCCCGTTAATATGGGTAGAAAATGGGTTCTGCCAAAGCCTATATATAGGTAGTGTGGAAGTCAAAGAGGTCCATTATTTGCCTATCGCAAATTCGAACGACGGAGATGTTCAGAATAATCGCGCTTGATCAATCTAGAAGGAGTTCTGTAGATACACGGCACATATTATCCATATTCGGTAGGTGATCGTCATCTCCGAGACGCATATGCGTGTAGGAATTAATTGCAGCCAGGGTCGCGAAAAAGAATTGCAGGGAGCCTAGGCCCCACTCATTTTCTAGCGAAAATCTACTAGTTAGGCCTGGTTGCAGGCGGTGCTTGTAGCGTACATAGATATGGGCGATACATACTCATAAGAGAACTTTTATGTGCAGGTCCGGGTATCTCTTAAGACTAACAGCTAGCCCCTAGAACTAGGTGCATGCGAAACATTTATACATAGGCCCTCTGACCTCACTTTTATATATGACCTCTAAGTTAAATACAATGCAAGGTTATGTGCATCTGTGAGGTAGCGAGGTAGTGGACAAGCGTGACTATTTAGGCCAACGATTGCACCCGCAATCATTAAATATAGGAGTCGTACCGCTGCTCTCATACATGAACCACCTTGTTCTCAGACGCATCCAATTCGGCCGCCAGTCGTCTTTCTGCTTCAGCCATGTCACCGCCAGCTTGGGCAAGTCGGTCCGCAAAGGCATTTTCGTTGGCAAAAACCAGGGGGCTCTCTGCCATGAACAGGAGGTTTATTTCTTCGAGGGTGCGGCCGTTAGTTTCGGGGAAGAATAAATACACCAACGGCAGGCAGGCGATGTTGAACGACGCAAAAACCATGAGAGTCTTCCATTGTAGACTGGCAAACATGCTTGGAATCACGAGGGTCTGTGTGACAGGATTAGAACTAGGTTTGGGGGTACGGTTCGTGATTTTGCCATACCGTGATGCCGCAACCCACGGCCCATCCAAACACTGCATAGCTGTTTCCAAACGCTCGAATCTCCTGCGGCCAGATTTCCGTCGGATAGAAAAACGCGATCATCAAGACAGTCTGCGCAAAGAAGAAGGTGAAAATGAAGACCATGCTGACCGACGCAGCGCCGTACGCGGCGGCGTTGTCCGGGTTGAGCTGTCCCAGACGGCCCAGACCGGCGGAGAGGAACAGCGCCACGCTCTGGATGGAGAACCCAAAATACATGGAGATGCGCCGTCCAAACCGGTCAATTGTAAAGATGCCTGCAATCGTGGCTGGGATGCCGATCGTGTTGACCAAACCGGATAGCCATCCGGCTTTGTTGGTATCGTATCCGGCTTGACTGAACAACGTGCCCGCGTAGACAGTGATGGCCAGGATGCCAGTCCATTCCATCATTAACATGATGCTGACGGCCAGCGCGACTCTCCTTCCCAAGTGAAGCTTGCCAGAGTGACGACCAAAAGTGACATTGCAGAAACGGTAGCGTTTGTGGTTTGACGACTCAACAGTGGTGTCCAGCTGTTCGATCTCAGACATCAGGTCGGGGTCTGCCAGCGAAACGTCCCCACGGATCTTTGCCAGGATTTCGACTGCCTCGCTGCGTCTTCCTTTGGCCATGAGCCATCGCGGCGATTCTGGGAGGAACCACACAGTCAGGAGTAGGATAACGGTAGGAACCACTTGTAATGCTAGTGGGAACCGCCACCGGAATGATGTTGGATGGTTCTTCAAGCCGTAGCCAATCCAGTAGGCAATGGTGATGCCGGTATAATTGGCGCAGAATCTACACACGATGATCGGGTCAGCGCATAAAGGTAGGGAGAAGGTCGTCACCTTGGACTTACACCAAGGCAAATGAGGCTCCTCGGGTATGGGCCACGGCCAATTCCGAAACCCAGGCAGGTGTGACCTGATCGCACCGGTTAGCGATTCCGCTTTGTCGGAAGAGACAGCATGGCCAAAAGGAAAGAGTATCATACCGTATTGATGAAGCCGATGCCGAATCCCGCAATTACTCTAGCGCAGATGATCATATCGCTGTTCTGAGCCCCGGCCTGCAGTGACCCTCCCACGACTGCGAATAGACTTCCCACGATAATAGCAAGCTTGCGCCCGGATCGGTCCGCCAGACGACCACCGGCAAAGCAGCCGAACATGGCGCCAAAGTAGTAAACTGCAACGATGCCTCCTTGCTTCGTGACGTTGGTAACCTTCCCGTTCCTCCCGATCTGCATCGTGTCAATGTATCCGGGGATCGAGTTCACAGAGCCCATGACTCCCTGGTTGTAACCCTCATAGATGAGAGCGATTCCGGAGAAGAGGTTAAGGGCCAAGAGAACAACCCAACCGGGAATGCTCTTCCATGGCATGAATGTCATTTTCACGAGTATGTACTGGATGACGCAGAGAAATGGGGCACGAGGAGCCGGAATATAAGCGTATGCGTGCCGAGAATATCGTCCATGGCCGCGTACTTATATGCGTCATCGTAGGATACGGCATCGATATCTTACAGATTGAACTCCCAGGTCCGTCCAGCTGCGCCGGGCGGTCGGAGAGTCGCCCCAGAAACGGCCCAGAGACTATGTCCCCGTTTTCGAAGAAAAGGCCAAGGAGAGACCCTGACCCGCAAAGGTTGGGGGCGGGACCTCTGCATCCTGGCCAATAAGGACGCCGGATTCTCAAAGCAATTCCCGCAGGTCGATACCAATATTCGCTTAAAAGCTAAAACGCTGAGCAAGGGAAAAAGGGTAGAGCGGCTCGAAAATTAGATCGACCAATCTCTCGAGTCATTCAGTGGGGCTTTTTGCAAACCATGACAAAACACTTGCGTGGATTGGACACTTTGGGGACTAGGAGCAGCGAAGCTACCCCCGCGTTGGAGACACGTCCGGTTTGGAGTGTTGGCCATTAGTGGTGTTGTAAGAAATTTCTTTAGATATATATATGAGACGGAGGTACAGGGCTGAAGGCATTACATAGGCGAATCTCGCGGAATGAATGGTTGTCATTTGACTCTTGCCCAGGTGCTTCTTCAGAAAAATCGAGCTTCTGGTCACAGCATCATTAGGTTAGTCATTGCACGATGGGAGTCACAATCTTGGACCATGCGAAGGACCCTGTTGAGCATGAAAGAATCCGTCTGCCGACGGGTGTCCGGATCCATTACTACACCGCAGGAAGCGGACCAGCATTGCTACTTCAGCATGGGGTAAGACAACTATACAAATAGACTCGCCGCACATGTTCTCCCTCAGAAACGCTGACGGATGTAAATCAGATCCCCAAGACCAGCTACTACTGGCGAAAGGTCATTCCTTATCTGACTCCATCCTTCACCGTCGTCGTACCGGACCTGCGCGGAGTGGGCGACAGCAGCCACCCGGATGGTGGCTATGACATGGGCACGGTAGCAGATGACCTCGCCGAGCTAATGACCGCGTTGGGTCATCGGACCTTCCACCTTGCTGGCGAGGACTGGGGAGCGGCCGCTGCGTATCAAGTGGCAGCGCGCTATCCCGACCGAGTGCTGAGTCTCGTCTTTCAAGAGATGCTCCTTCCCGGCTTCGGACTCGAGGACTGGGCTCAATTCCGCCCGGACCACCCCGAAACACATCTATGGCACGTCAGCTTCTATTATGTCCGTGACGTGCCGGAGATGCTGCTCATGGGGCGAGAGCGCGAGTACCTGACATGGTTCATCAAGAATGAAGCATATGATCCTGCCAGCATCGACGACGATGCTATCGACGAGTACGTGACGAAGTACTCACAACCGGGCGGCATTCGGAGCATGTGCAACATCTACCGTGCGACAGAAACGAATGTTCGGCAGAACCGCGAGGCAGCGCAGACAAAATTGGCCATGCCGGTGCTAGCTGTCGGAGCTGGGAGCTTTATCGGCGCAGAGGTGAAAAAACAGATGGAGCGTGTCGCGGAGAATGTGACCTACGAAGAGTTCCGTTATGGCCATCAGCTAGCGGAGGAATGTCCTGGAGCACTCAGTCAACGATATCTGACATTTCTCCAGTCTCTCCAGATGAAGGCTTTTCCGGCGCGGAGACTGGTTTGCGGTACTGATGACGGAGATCCGTCGACGGCCGGCACATCCACAGATCAATCCCAATGATGGGTGTTCTCATGAGGTGCTTTGACTGCAGAATAGGCCTAGTAAACACCATCCTACGGTAGTAGTTCAGGTTTCTTTATGAGAGAGCTCAAAGTGTATTATTGGTAGCTCATGGCGTTACGAGACCCAAGTTGATTATGCTGGCATTGATTGAATTACCGTCACCGAACGAGCGTCCATGGCAGTAGCGTGTGCAACTGGAGAATTCTTCCCTTTTTACAAGTTCTATCCTATGGTTCTTGCGACAACGTCGGGTGTGGGCTGTTGATTGTGACGTCCTGCAGATTTCATGTATAAGCGAGGTTATCTTCTGGACTGGGAAGCTCGAGAATTAGCAGATGTTAGCCAGAAGAGGATCTTGAAATAGTATATCGATATTTACCTTAGACGTACCATCTCTTTTGTAGAGTAATGGTTATTTTCGATTTATAAAAAGATGGTTAGTTTGTCGATTTTAAACGTACTTGACTTACTAGACGGGTCTCTCATGTGGCCAGCAGTATACTCTCACAGAAGAAAAGGGCGGGCTGTAGAGGGCACTTTGTCATCACTTATGACCATCAATCTCCATGCTTTCTTGACTAGCTTATCCAGTAAGAAATAAATCTGCGTTTGGGAAAAGCTCCTGAAATTAGTTGAGATGAATCGCCTTGGGCAATTAAACCCCTTCTATACGTATTATTCCGTTTTACAGCGGCTAAAATAATGATTCGCTTGATCTACTAGATATCTTCCCTAAAAAGCCCGCAAAGGTAGCATTCTCGCTATCGCTTCTGAAAACTAAGGACATAGATTTGCTCTTATGAGGAGTCGAATTTCATACATATTAACAACCCGCTCTATCGCTTAATGTTCCTACGCGCGAATGAGTAGTAGGAGATAAGGCGAAATAAGACACCCGATTAATCAGCTTCTTGTGGGAGCCACTACGACGATAAAACAAAGATATCTTGGTCAGGGCACTAATAAACGTAGAAGATAAGCCATCCATCGGTAACAGCTCGATGGAGAGAGGTAGTTATCTCCTTCAATATTCTTGGGCGGATTATACCGGAAGTAATCTGGCTCATAACCGACGGTGAGATTCCACTATCGGGCGGGTGAACTAACCTTGGCGCATTGGCATTCTATTCTCTTGACGTACCTGCACACTGGGTTTTTCGTGGGCGGACTGGGTTTGGTCGGGTTTTGGCGAGACCTACTTTCCATCGATGGCCCATCTCAAGTTGATGGGACATTAGTCGCATATTGGTGTAATTCATGAAATTTAGCCATCACAGTTTCTATCCACCTTAGCTCCACACAGCCTCATGGCAAACGCCAGCCTTCTTCATCTTTCCCCTTATGATCATATCAGCTTCCTCTAGATTTTGCATGTTGGCAGTGGCAATTATCTCCGCATACCGTACTCCGCCTGCCTTCCTGTTCTGCAAGACCTCCTAGTCGATAATACAACTTCCCACATTTCCTGTCCCAGCTGGATCTGTAGCACGTCACGTGATAACCAACCGCCCCCAGCTGTCCCTCACCTCTGCTTCTCAAGTTGTTGTTGCGTCACCCTCTCCGACTGACATTTGTCCCCCACCTCCCAAGCGATCCCTCAATGAAGCCTCTACTTCCCGTGATTACTTCACTAGCGGCCGGTGCCTTGTCAGCCGCACTCGCGGAGCCGGAGGCCCTGGCTACAGACCACGAAACGCAGCTCCCCCTAGTGATCTGGCATGGGCTGGGCGACGACTTCGAACGCGAGGGCTTGCAGGAGATCGCTGCACTAGCTGCCAAGGTTAATCCAGGCACGTATGTGCATCTGGTACGGCTGGCTGACACGGGGAACGACGATCGACAAGCGACCTTCATAGGAAATGTGACGGAGCAACTCAACACAGTGTGTGAGCAACTAGGAGCAGATCCGATCCTGGGGAGTGTACCGGCGGTAAATGCGCTGGGCTTCTCGCAGGGCGGCCAGTTTCTTCGCGGTTACGTGGAGCGGTGCAATGCGCCCCGAGTGCACAATCTGGTCACGTTCGGCAGCCAGCACAACGGGATATCGGAGTTTCAGTCGTGTTCGACAGGCGACTGGGTGTGTCAGGGCGCCGAGGCGCTGCTCCATGCAGGCCGGTGGACTGAATTTGTGCAGAGCCGTCTCGTGCCTGCGCAGTATTTTCGTGACCCAGCCGAGCTGGACGCGTATCTCGAGCATAGCAATTATCTGGCCGACATTAACAACGAGCGCGCGCACAAGAATACCATGTATGCGGCGAATGTGGCAACGCTGAACCGTTTCGCCATGTTCATGTTCGAGAATGATACCATTGCCGTTCCCAAGGAGAGCGCCTGGTTCGCCGAGGTCAACTCCACCGATGGAACGGTGACTCCCCTACACGAGAGACCGATTTATAAGGAAGACTGGCTAGGTCTGAAGCAGCTCGGGGATCAGGACAAGCTTGATTTTCGCACGGTGCCCGGCCAACACATGCATCTGTCCGAGAAGGTGATGAAGGAGACCTTCAAGGAGTACTTTGGTCCCACTGGTCCTTCACAGTCGTCGCCTCCACGTCTGATCGAACAGCCAGGGTCTCAATAATAATGATTACGGGCATTCATCTCGGGCGTTGCGGATTAACTAAAATGATAACCCATTTGCGACTTTCCTTGTCTTGTGCTTTGGCATTCAATGTACAGCGGTCGGCTTTGTTCCTGAAGTAGATCGTACCGTCGTATCATTTGCTTCTGATTCTTCCCCTTCCTATTACAGAAATTATGCTTAAATCGCTTCAATCTTCTTGATCGTGTCACCGAGGTACAGCTCATCCGGCTCAGATATGTGACTTGCGGCAGCATTCGGAGTCCACCAACCGTGACGATCCGTTCTTTGATGACGGTACGTCGATTGAAGGGTTTGCGGTAAAAAAGTCCGCGGGACGGATCATAAGCTGGAAAATCTCCACGGGCCTGCTACTGTCAGTCTGGGATTTCGGGGAAACGCGTCAAAACATACATGACGGGCCAGTCCTCTACTCGCGGGTTGTGCGTTATGCCAAACGAATTCCATACCACCACGTCGGTATCGACCACAGCCTCTTGCCGGCGAACAGCATCTGCGACTCCGTCCACCTCGTTCTGGCTTTGCAGCGTATACCGCCCGCCAGCATAGAGTTCCCCGTCTTGGTACTTGGTGACCCAGACGTGGTGCTGGGCAAACTGGGCACGCCGCGCTTGTACCGAGTGGGGATCCGCCAACAGCAGCTGTGTTGGCAACGGAGTGAACTTGTACCCCACTGGATTTCCACTGATCGGGTTCATTTTGTGCGGGTTGATCATCTTAATGGTCCGATTGTGTTCCGGGGCAGCATCGAGCCATGTTGCACGATCCACCGTCTGCTTGTTGACCTGATAGAAGTTCCCGTTGGGATTGGTGACGGAATTCATGGGCACTGGGTGCGATTCTTCAACTACCACTGAGTTCCGTGGTCCGTCAACGGCCGGGTCAATCCGAACATTGAAGATATGCTGATGGTTTTGGGCCAGGACCCCCCCGCTGACCACGTTGCCGTACTCGCTGACCTTGCCTGCGTCGATGTTGACGACGTTCAGGATCCCAGTTGCGCGTGCCTCGACGGTGATACCACCGGACTGATCGAATTTGTAGGCGAAGATATACTCGTAGTTCGCCAGAGTGATGATAAACTGCGCGACCAGCTCGCGGTTACGGGTGACAACCGCACGGCCAGTACGCCAGTTGGAGTGCTTCCATCCAATGCCGTTGTCCTGTTCATGGAGACAGATGGCGTTGGGAAGAGTCTCAGCGGTGCCATCTGCCTGCGTGATTACGGCGTCGAAGTATTTGATGACCCCCAGACAGTCACAGCCCAGGGACAGGTTATTGGCCATGTTGCCGCCACCGCCATCGCCAAAATCGAATGCCTGCTTGCGGTGAAAGGGGGGACGCGGATCGGCGTAGGGAACCGTCTATGGCGTCATGTCAATCTTGTAATTCCTGTGTCAAGAGGGCTCAATTACCTACCATCTCGCTGATTGCCAGCCGGTACATCACACTGCGGCCGTCATACCATACGTCGTGGATAGTGGCGCCTTCTCGCGGATTGAACCCAACACGAAACCGCCACTTCTGCCACTCGACCAAGGACTCATCCGTCACGCGGAAAGACGGTCCCTCCGGCTGAACAACATTCAACGGTTTGAGGTCCTTTCGCGTTCCTTCGGGCAGCAACTCGGGAATGTATTCGGATGGCTTGCAATGACCGATGATATCACGCTTGAAGGTCTGTTCCAGCAGCCCATCGCCTTTGCCGCCGGTAGCTGGCCGGTCTACTCGAATAATTTCTTGGGTGTGTGCGTCCATGACGGGAATCACAGGCAAAGGGAAAGAATAGAAGTTGGAGTCTTCGTTGCCCGATCGCTTGTCCTGGGCGAAGCAGAGACCCTGAAAGTAGCGCCGGTTTCCATCGGTGAGATCCAACCCGCCATAGGGCCACGGTTCAATCACGACTTCAAAGCCGTCTGGCAGATCAAAATCAGACAGGGCCTTCTGGAACAAGGGTGACTTGTTGCATTGGTCCAAGAGGACATCGAACTCGCTCCTGTGGATATTTTAGTGGACGCTCTTCTGTATCCGAGGATTGAAAGCGATACAAAACCAGGCTGGCGTGGTGTTGTTTCCCGACCACCGTGTGGTTGACCTGGGTGCGCGACACCACATCCACGACTGACTCGTGGAACTGGGGGATACGGTCGGCCCCGATCACATCGTACTGGCACAACGCCAGGCGCGGCGGCCGGGGAGTAGTCGGGCTCAGCCGACCAGCGTGCTCAAGAGCCAGGAATTCCTGCACCTGTGTCTTGGGTGGTTCCTGTAAGAAGATCTCGCGAAAATCAATCACTGTGCCGGGATGGGCGGCCTTGACCGCATCACGGGCCAGGTTGGTCTCTGCCTCGGAGAGGATGGCGAGTGGGTGAATCATGGTGCAAGAATGGGTGTTTAAACGCCAAAAGCTCAGTTAAGGGATATATGTATCTTATAGAATTCCATTCTTAGTATTATTATCTGACAGAAACGCCGCCTCGGAATGTCGGTATGCGCTCGGAACGGAGTGGAGTTGGACGAGACAGTCGTAACCGGGTTTCGTGCGTGGCTCGTGGTGGCTAGTGATGCAAACGCCCGACAGTGTTGAGCTATCTATGTCCTTTTTATGTCAATTCCCTGGCTACAAATATGCAGAAAATAATCTCTTACTAAATCTCTGAGACCCCAGTAGAAGTAGTTGCACATAGAGCTCCCAGGCCTCTCAAAGGCACTTATCTAGACAGCACTCTGTGCTGTGAATGGCTTAGCTCAAATACGATATCGCCACACCTTGTGAAACCCTTTTCCCACTGACAGTAATAATCAAGTGGAGCCCTGGAATTGCTTCCGCGATAACGCGATCATCACCGTCAGAATGCGGGGAGACACCCGCTTGGAGTTTGGAGCTACCTTGTTTAACCCTTGCCAACGAGATACGCCCTGTCACGTCGCTCACTTTCGCCTAGTCGAAACATTCCGCAGGCGGAGACCACCCGTGGTGACATATGGTGCTAATGAACTGTAATGCGAAACCCCCCCCCCTCTGCTCTGGAGGCGTATAACTATCATGGAATCGCCCAAGCCCCGTGGCTCCCCTGGAATATCGTTAACTTTCGTCCCTTGTTTATGTTTGAACTGTTCAAATAATGGCCGAGCCCGATACTAAGTCCCTTGAGCCCGAGAAGCCCATTAGCGATGAGGAACAGCTAGCCGCTATGGGCCATGTCCAGGAGCTGCGCCGAGAGTTCTCACTGTGGTCCATTGTGTGCCTTCAGATCTCCTTGATGGCCACTTGGGAGGCCCTCTCGTCGGTCGTGGCAACCGCGTTGACCAATGGTGGCCCCCCGTGTCTATTTTACAATTAGTGAGTGTAAAGCAAATTGAGGAAATTCAGGAGCGGGGATTGACGCGAAGATCTATCTAGTATTATTTCTTTGGTTGGCACCGTGCTGGTCGTGCTTTCGCTAGGCGAGATTGCCTCTATTTATCCTACTGCCGGCGGTATGTCTCCCTCTGAGATTGGATCGTGCAAGACGCTGACAACGGACAGGGCAATACCATTGGGTCTTTTGCCTTACTCCTGTATCGTATCAATCAACTGCCGCCTGGTTTACTGGCTGGATTTCAATTGGCGGACAACTGGTACTGACGGCATCGGCGGCGTTCGCGGCTGGGCTGCAACTGCAAGCCCTCATTACAATGAACCAAATGGACTCCTATACCCCACTTCGGTGGCAGGGAATGCTCTTTTATTGGCTCATCCTGGTGTATTCGGGTATGATCAACATTTGGGGGTCCAAGATTCTTCCGCACACGAATACTGCGGCTGGTAAGCTCGCGCTCCGACGATACTGGGGATTAAGACTGAGCACAAAGCAGGTATATTGCATGTCATTGGTTTTCTCGCTATTGTCTGTGTGTTAGGGGTCATGTCATCCAAACACTCGGCAGAATATGTATTTACGGGGTTCTCCAATTCCAGTGGCTGGGACAACAATGGAGTATCCTGGTTGGTCGGACTGCTGAGCACCGTATACCCTTTTCTAGGGTAGCCCTGTCCCAAATCCCATGAGGAAACAAAACGAATACTGACAAAGTTCATTAGATATGATGCTGCGTGTCATCTCAGCGAAGAGCTTCCCAAGCCTTCTCGCAATGTTCCTCTGGCTATGGTGGGTAGTGTTGCCATCAACGGGGTCATCGGCTTGATTTACGCCATTGTGCTGTTATTTGCCCTTGGCGACCTCAAATCTTTGCTCAAATCCAAGGTTGGATTCCCCTTTATGCAACTTTTTCTCAATGTGACGGGCTCGCCAGCTGGGGCATCACTTCTAGCTCTCTGTGTCACCTTAATCGCCGTCGCCGCTAATTCCGCCGGGGTCACCTCAACTAGTCGCACGGCCTGGGCATTCGCTCGTGACCGCGGTATGCCTGCATCCAGCTTTCTGTCGATTATCAACCCGATGCTCAAGGTCCCTGTGCGCATGGTTGTGCTGGTGGTCTTCCTGCAGATGCTGCTCGGACTGATTTATCTGGGCAGCTCGACCGCTTTCAATGCTGTGTTGTCTATGGCCATCCTGGGCATGTACGCATCATACCTGTCGCCAATATTCTTCATGTTACTCTATGGTCGACGTTCCTGCCCATCGATCACGCACAGATTGGGACTGGGTTCGTTCAACTTGGGCCCGCGATGGGGACCAGTGGTCAACGTCATGGCCATCCTATGGCTGTTACTAGCAATGGTGTTCAGCACGTTTCCTACCGTAGAGCCAGTGACACCGGTCAACATGAACTATTGTGTAGTCGTGACGATGGGATGGATGTTGATCGGTGGGTTGTATTATTATCTGGACGGTAAAAGGCGATTCAAAGGGCCTGTGGTGGAGTTAGCGGAGGGTCAGTAAGGTGAACCATGATTCTGTGTATTTTCCGATATCCCCGATAATACTCTAGTATGAAGTACAACTGAACTGATAGTGCTCTTAACTACCCCACTCTGGAGATCCCTAACTCCCCGTCCAAACCCTAATGCGGCCGTGTTCAAGGTGAGGGGTTGGTATGATATAAATATAGTTGAAGACGGATATGGAATGCATGTCACCAACTTTCTCGCAATCATGTCAAATATCAAGACCGTTCATATCCCCCATCTGGGGGGTATCGATGCAGCCTATCAGATGCCAAAATCATACGATCGTACCAAGCCGACTCTCGTCTTGATAAATGCATTTACCACGTCGTCAGAGTTTTTCAGGGCGCAATTTGGAAACTCCAAGTTGACCGATACCTTGAACCTGTTGGCTATCGAGCTGCTGGGCCATGGTCAGACACGCGCAGCTCGCGAGCATTGGACGTACTGGGATTCCGCGGAGATGAACCTTCAAGTGTTGGATGCGCTGGGCATTGAGAAAGCATTTGCGCTGGGTGTCAGCCAAGGCGGTTGGGTTGCAGTGCAGATGGCGCTGATGCGGCCCGAGAAGGTACCATATCCCATGTGCCTTTCTGAAGATTGACATTAACTAACCAACAACAGATGGTCGGTATTGTTCCTGTAGGAACATCGATGGATAATGAGTCGGAGCGCAGTCGCCAGCTGCAGTGCTGGGATGGACCGACGATCGTGACGAGCTTTGTCAACCAGTGGAGCAGCAGTCAGCCTACCCCGGACTTTGAGCCCGACCTGGGATTCTGTGATGCGCTTATTGACGTTGGTTTCAACAAGTGTCCTGATGAGGTGCGTGAGTTCTGGAGGGCGAAAATCAAGTCAAACTATCGTGGAGATGAGGGCCGGCGCCGTATGCGCATGGCAGCCATCAACCTTGCGGAGCGCGGTAGCCTCCATCTCCGACTTCCAGACGTTCAGTGCCCGGTCATGTGGCTGCATGTAAGTCTCTCTTCTTCCACACTTTCTTTTTTGTGAGAAAGATTCTTTTCTGACCTCTATAGGGCACTGAAGATGCTGTTTTCTCCTTGGCAAATGCCAAAGAAGAGATTGGAATGTTTACCCGCTCACCGGACGCGTGCTTGATCGGCATCGACGGAGGAGCGCATTTCCTAAACCATGTCCACGCGGCAGAAGTTGATACAGCCGTTTTGAATTTTGTTTCCAAGTATTACCAGTTAAAATGACGAGATATAAGACATCTTACTCTTTCTTTATTATCAATAGTCATTATTCCAAAAAAAAAAAAAAAAAAAAAATATTGGAGAAAGATACCCAACCATAGCTTCTAGTACAAATTGATTGGAACTCTGAGAGCAAAAAAAGATTTTCCTACAAGCTCGACGAAGGAGCTCTGAGGCAATAATATGTCGAGTTTGTAGACCTCGATGCGAGAATGACGCAGGTTCAAGATTCCTGCTGGTGATATATCTCCACTGTTTCTCGATATAATGATGCTTCCACTAATACGTAGCAGGAGAGCAGATTGTTTGACTATCAGAACAAAACATTTCATTTAAAACATTCCATTTCTACTAGAGAAGATGATGTTAACTTTCTGACTGCGCTAGTAGTCAGCGAATGAGAGGCCGAGGATAATGGCCCGTGTCGACCAATTTCTGCCTTAATGCCTGAACTCTCGCCTCCTTTCTTCACTTCATTGAAAATTGCTTGCTTGCATTGAACAGTAAGTGGTGGGTAAAAGCGTCATGGCTCCAGGCATGATGACTTTCTCACTTATATTTTCCTCCCTTGTGGATCCGAGCAAGATGTTCTCGCTGGCCCTCTCTCTGCTCGATTCCCCGACACCGTCCATCTCCCCAGAAGGCTCCTTTTACCCGCCACTAAGCTCCCTCTCATACATCACCAATTCCGAGTATGGGACATTTGGCGGTATTTTCAGTGCACCCGCTCGAGAAGCTACAGAGAATCTGCCTGGCTCTTATGATTACTGCACCATGCCTCATCCTAGCCCGGAGAGCTATCAATCTCCGCCTCCTGTCCATAACCACTCTATCGACGCACAATTAGTCTATGTGGAGTACATGCAGCGGCACCAGCGACGCACAGCATATAACATTCTTCCTGGTGGCGAGGTACCTCATGCATCTTCGAGACAAATCGATCCCTACTGACCCCCTAAAAAGGACCAACGATACGAATGTGACGACGTTAAGCCGTACCTGTACGCCGGGCCTACCAACGAAAATGACGAGAATTTGTCGCGCTCGCTGCTCCCCGTCTATGCGCAGACATACACGGATTCCAGCAACCCATTTGTCACCAGCTATGTTAATGGAACCTGTCAATACCCACAGCTCACTATCGGTGGGGTATTAGATGGCTATCGACATGGCCGTGATCTATGGGGAGTGTACGGCGAGAAAATGGGTCTCTTACCAACCTCCCCCAAGGCACCCGCGGTATGGTTTAGGTCTAGCAGCTCTGCGTTGACGCAAGATTCTGCTGGCGCCGTCCTGCGTGGTATCTGGCCCGATCATCGCGGATCGCTGCCACTACACCAGCAAGCTGCTGCTGTTGACACTGTTAATGAAGGGTTCTCGTGTGCTGCCCGTTCCCAACTGCTCGCGATCATCCAGTCGAGCGACGAGTGGAATCAGCATCTTGCGATCACTCAGCCATTGCGGAGTCGGCTCGGTACCCTCTTTGACGCCAACATTAGTGATTGGATGTCCACATTTGATCACTTCGCCGATAATTTCCAGGCGCGGCTATGTAACGGATACCGGTTACCATGCAGCCGGACGGATCGCTCTGCGTGTGCCACAGCTGCCGACGCTAACGAAGTCTTTCGGGCTGGTGATTGGGAATGGAATTACTGGTGGAATCACAACCGCAATGCGTCGCAGTACATTCAATTAGTGGAAGGTCTCTTTCTGCGGGAAATTGTGGGACGATTAGAGACAATCGCTCAGGGGGCCTTTGACCGAGTGTACACGCATAGCTTCGTACATGATGGAGATTTAGGCCCCATTTTAGGTGCTCTTGGGATTCAACAATTGCGATGGCCTGGAATGGGGTCCAATATCGCATTTGAAGTATGGTAAGTACCGAGACCCTTCCATCGGTAGTTCAGCGCATCCTGGGCGACTGACCATTCTAGGCGAACATCTGATTCCGGGTTTTTTACGCGTGTCCTGTACAGCGGACATGCTCTACGAACAGCTCATGGTACCCTGGATTGGGTTCCTCTCACACATGTGGTCGATCAGCTGAAAGCACATGTCCCAGATGACATCATAGCCATGTGCATGGTCTAAGACATTTCACTGAAACGGCGCTAGACCGTCACACAATAATGTAACACACCCGAAAATCAATCCCCTTAAGACAATCAAGACCTGTGCCAAGCCTCCACTGGTTGACCATTTTGTGACCAACAACAAAGTTTCAGGGAATACAGTAGCATCGCGTCGACGTGATTTTCAATTCCTGACGTCCTAGGGAACCTTTCGGCCTGAGATCGACGGGATCATCGTGCGGGGAAAGATACGAGGGTATCTCTGGGAGCGACAGGATTCCAGAAAGCTCATTATTATTTAATATTCTTAATTTCACCAATTTCACTTCACACTGCCTTCTCCGAACTTGTACTTTACAGAATATTGTGGGTATATTCTGAGCCACTTGCCACGACCGAGAGAATATTGATCTTTTTTATTCCACCAGCAAACCATCATGTATCGCCCAGTGCTCCTGGCTTTGGCCAGTTGCCTATTCCACCAATTTTCCAATGCCGATTTTTTCCCACGGGCGGCTCTAGTCCCTGGAAATTTGCACCCGCGAGGAGACGAGCTAGTATGCCCTGAGACCTTACAAGCCTGTCCCGGGGGCACAGGATGTTGCCCAACGGGTGCGGCGTGTGTTGAAGTGATGGGCGAACCCCAATGTGAGGGTACAATCGCAACAAGCACGACCTCGCTCAGTATCAACCCCGGTGGCCCAATCATTACCACCTCAACTTCGAGTAGCTCCAGCGTGACCACCACCACGGAGATTTCAACGGCAAACACCACCCCATCCATGACGTCCTCATCCACCACGTCCTCGTCTATGTCCTCATCCATGTCATCTTCTGCGACGGCGTCCTCAAGCAGTTCAGCCTCGGGCCAAGCGTCACCAAGCCCGACTTCTGGAGTGGCCAGTCTCTCTGTACTTGAAAGCACATCGTGGATGGCGTGCATGCTTTGGATCACCAGTCTACTCTTTGCCGTGTAGAAGAAGACCTAGTGCCGAGAAAACATGAAAATGAAAGAATGTTGCAGAGAGCGATTGTACCTGAGAACGGCACTATATCCAGCTTCCTGAAAGTTATTTTTGCTGCTTAGTTAATGTGCTGGTTTCAGAACTTTGTATCCTACTTCACCAAGCAGTCTCAGAAACGAAAACATCTTGCTACGGCTCAATTTGTAAGCTTGGTGAGGAGAGCCACCTCGTCATCATTGGAGCCCTCAAATACTATGACCTAAAAGTTGAAATCGTATCAACGGCGCTGACAAATCCAAATACACAAGACCGTGGGACATAAATAAAGTGTCTAGTTTGTTATTAGGGAATCGGAAGTCATCTTGCTACAATCATCCAAGCACATAAATAACAAATCGCACCCTGTTCTTTGATTGTGACCATGGAGCCGATTGCTACCACAAACACCTTAATCAATGGAAGCCGGATTGCCTACGGAATTTATGGAGACGGAGAGCCAGTTGTTCTGCTACATGGCACTCCCTCGTCTTCCCTCATCTGGCGTGACGTCATGCCAGTGTTAGTTACGGCTGGTTACCGAGTCCACATCTTTGATCTGCTTGGATATGGGGTCTCCGAGCGCCCTTGGGATCCATCGATCGACACGTCGATTTCCGGCCAGGTGATAATCTTAGAAGGTCTTTTGCGGCATTGGAACCTAAACAACACCCATATTGTGGCACACGACATTGGTGGCGGTATCGCGCAACGCTTTGCCATCTCTTCACCGTGGCGCATACGGACGCTGACTCTCATTGATGTCGTGAGTTTTGACAGCTATCCCTCCAAACGGACGAAACAGCAAATGCGCGAAGGCCTTGATATCATGATCAAGGCATCAGAGGATAGCCATAGGAGTCATTCTCGAGAGTGGCTGTTATCCGCAGTACAAAACCAACAAAAACTAGCCGACAGCAGCTTAGAGACCTTTTTGAACTATATATCTGGGCCTGTGGGACAGGCTAGTTTTTTCCAGCATCAGGTTCGCCATTATGACCCAAAGCACACAATGGAGGTCGCCGAGCGACTTCCTGAATTAGCTGGTCTTCCAGTCTACCTTATTTGGGGTGCCAATGATGCTTGGCAGGTCTTGGACTGGGCATATAGGTTGAGGCAGGCTATCCCTGGCTCGAAGCTGGACATTGTGAAGGACTGCGGCCATTTCTCGCTAGAGGACAAACCAGAAGAGATATCAATGTTGGTTACAGGATTCTTGAAACAAACCTCACGTGATGCCTGGGAAAGAGCCTAATATGTGAGATAATACAGGTCATCGGAGAGTTGTTAGAATGGTGTTTGGTTCTCCAAAATTGGCGATTATCTTTGAATGTAGAGGTAACTACGCTTAAAGAGACAACACACAATTCCGGCAGATAGGGAGAACATCCCCTCCAGTTGCATGTCTTAAAATTAGGAAAGTTTAATTGGCCTCAATAAATTTGACATGAGAGTGCATCAAAACCAGCGATATTAGAGTCGAGATGAAATTTATGGTCAATTCTGGAAATATGCGCTGATAACCGTCCACCCCTTTGCAGGCGGCACCCTGAGACTGATGTCATTCTTTAAAAAGCATCTGCCGGTGTGGTTTGTTTCCGCAGGTGCGCTTACATCCCATGTAACTCCCAAGCATTGCCCTGTAAAGACATTGTTGTACTGGATGCATTTCGTCAGGCATTCAGTGATCGAGTCCGCTGTAAAGTCTGGTAGGCCGTGATCAGCAATTGTAGATTCTGTGCAGCTGGTAGAAGAGCAAAGGTCCACGTTGCATAGTTGAATATAAGTAATAGTCTCGAATGAATGTGTGGTTCCATTTGCTGCAGGGCAGTCGGAAGTAACGGCCGTGACTGTCGAGGGCTGAAAATCCGTAGCAGAAGCAGCATTCGTCGTTGTAGAAGGGTCTAAGGAAGAGGTAGAGTCGGAAGTGGAGTCACTTGATATTGGTATAATAAATCTCTGATGGTCGAAGGGTATATGAATTTAAAGAAACACTAACCTAGACTTGCTGGGATTGGATTTTGACGCGATTGATCCGCCAACGCCTCCACCAACAGCTGCAGCTATGACGATGAGGATAATTATCACAATTATCCAAACATTTCGTGGGCGTAGCAGGACTTTTTTGGGACATATTTCTGCCTTAACTGGTATTGGCGCGTCGGTACCATTCCCTGTTGAAAGTGGTTTGGGGACGATGCCATGGGGGATAAAGAAACCATCAGCTGGTCTTGCAACTTCAAGGCCAGGTTGAATAGGAGACTGAGAGCGAGTTGTTCCCATATTCAGAGTTAGGTAGGTCAGGTCACTCTGTAACTCACGTATAGGGAGCAATGGGAGCTGGGCCCTGGTTGCGAGGACACCAGTCTGAGGGTTCATGAAACGTCGACATTTAGCCCCCAGGATGACTGTGCATCTCATGATTGGAAACGTGCAACAACGAAGAGAGGGACTAACTACCTGTAGTTAAGTGGAACCAACAGTAACTAGTGTTGGCCAAGACGGAGAACGCCATTTTGAATAATAATGAGATCACCTACAGCAGCAGCGTCTACCTTGAAATACTTTAATATGGGTTAGTTGTTCGCGACCCTCAATTGTTCTCGCACGACTAGGATACCCGGATTCCTTGTTGATTTGTTCCTGCATGCTTCCCTTTTCAGTTGACTGCGGCCGAGGATAACTATATTAGAACACAGCAAAAGTGAGTCATTGCATAATTATCCATGCAGAATAAAGCGGTCTCTGAGTTTCTAGCAAAATGTTATTGTAATTGCGCTCGTTTGTTTTAACCTCGATTAAATTGGCAAGGGCCCGCACTCTGCAGTCACCGATATTCTTGCTCTTTTGCAATGGTCTGTCTTAGCGCCCCGAGACTAACTAGTGTGTGATAAACAAACAACCCACTACAGGTCGCAACAAAGATGGTATTTGTGATATACTTGACTATGTATCAAAATACTATGTGAAATAAGCGTAACTCTTATCGTCGAACATTTCCTTTCTTCTTCTGGCGGTATTCCGACCCTTGAGAACCAGGCAGACTCTTGCTCCTTTGTATCTGTGAGTTTGCTAACAACTTGTTTCGGCTTTGATTAAACAATGCACTACGCGTGGGTTAGTTTACTTGAAACCCTCATTGAGCGTCCTGGCGGACACAAGATGGTTGTACGAATCCTTATGTACTTAGCCTAAAACATGAGGAGCGCCATTAGATTCTGGTAAAGAATCTGGTCTGTGAATGTCAAATAAATAAAATACAAAAATCAATTAAAAGGAACTCCCCCTTCCTCAATTCTAGTGCCTATGTCACCCCGAGCGCAACGAAAAACGCGTTCACTTAGACCTCAAGAAGAGGAAGGGTTTAAGATGATGTCGCCATCGTAGTGGCACTTCTTCGATTTTTCAGGACCCTTCGCCGGGCCACATATCCACTTGCTGTCTTGAGTATCATCGTTTCTGTTGTCGTTGACGGTCACGGAGAACTTCTCAGTGCCCTTCGCCCGTTGCAGCTGCAAGTCAAAAGCCGAGATACCTTTCACGCCGCCAGGAAAGTGGACATGGAATGCACCATCGTCGGTGCGGGCGTTCACCTGGGGGTTTCCAGGACGATCCCTATCCATCTTTGTTAGTGCAACCATCGAACAAGAGGTGGCGAGAGAGAAGCATACCAGATAACGTTGGCAAAAGTCGCATCGTGGTAGTTAGGGTCGTTGAGTTTGAACGTGACATAGCCCGTCTGTTCGGTCTGAGAGGCACTAAGCCCGCTAATGGTGACGGCTTTCTCACCTCGCGTGGCAGGTACGGCTAGAGCAGTACCAGTAACTAGCAAAACGGAGTAGAATGTAGCGGTTTTCATTTTTCTCGCACTGGGATTTTTCAAATAATAGAAGAAAAAAGGATAGAACTGGTGGATGAAGCTGTCAAATTTGGCGATGAACGTGCTCTTATACTCATCATTCGAATCCTCAAAACAGGTGACACAATATAGACTGTGAGACAAGAGGATACTCGCTCCGCCCACCTACTGTCTCAGTAGAGAGTAACAACTCAACGCTCTAGTACTGAAACTAGCGCTGACTGGTCGGCCATGAATCACGCCACGTAGAGTAACGAGTCCATTCAGCCATAAACCTAATTGACGGGGCGTGAAGGAACAACCGTCACCTAGGCCTCCCATCCTGTGAGACAGAAACGAGGATTCCAAATTTAACAGCGAAAGGCATGATTGCACCTCCTAGGGCTCTACTCTAACAATCATAATAATCTACTATGCCAAATCTCAACTTGTCCGCATTCCCCAACGCCTCCGAATACTCATCCGGCCGCACCTGCACATCGACAACCACCATGGTGCGCTTGTGCCTCACCTCGTCCACCGCCCGTCGCAGCGCAACTCCCCCCCCGCCGCTGCACCTGCCGGCCATCACGGTCGCTCCCCCCCCCCCCGGGGCGAGGCCGCGTTCTGGCTCAGATCCAGTAAAGGGTCGTCGATCCGGATCCCAATCCACTTGTTTTCGACAGGCCTGCTGCGGGCGCGGGCCACACGCTCCTGGTGACTTGGTCATTGAAGGACGCGTTGTTAGCCACGATTACCAGCAGGAGCAGGTCGTACCGTGCCGCCGTCCACAGCGCAGATCCGCCCATCAGAAAATCGCCGTCGCCCAGGATCGCCACGGGCAGCAGATCGCTGTCTTTCAATGCCAGTGCGGATCCGACCGCTTGTCCGAGGCCAGAGGCCACGCCGCCACCCCCCGTCCTGGCCCAGGTAGGCCAGGGGGTGCTTCGCGCGCATCTCGCTACCTTTCCAGCCCAGCGGATATACATATGTAATCGGAACTCACGGTAGAATACAGCGCCTGGGAGAGGTGGCTTATGTAGATATCCTCACCGTCGGCCGGGACTGATCCAGGGATAGGCGGGGAATCCGTCCATTCTCGGGCCACAGGCGACACTGAATCATTTTGAAGCAAACCGAAGACGAACTTGTCTGCACCTGCTGTGATTGAGTGGTACACCGGACAACCAAAGTGGTCCTTGGACCAGCCGTTATGCAGCGCCGAGTCGAGGCTGATATGGACAACCTTGGCAGTTGCTTCCTCACTCTGTGGGTACGCGGCCTGCAGTGTTCTCGCGAGATCGACCCATTCGAAGGAGACGATCATGTCCGCCTCGCGCATCAGCTCGCAGGTTCGCGGCTTGTTGAACACGGCGGGCCGCTGGCATATCTACCTCCAGCGAAACTATACAGCAAAGTCGGGATATCATCGAGTAAGGATCTAAGAGAGATGCCGAGTCGGTTGAATATCTTGATAAATGCCGGGGATTCATTCCAAATTCTCACTCGAAATTGGATTCAAGGTGCCTTTTCCCATCCGGTGTTGTCATTCGGAGGATTTCCAAGGCTCGGTTCTCCTGATCTGGTGGGGATCCACGATCTCGGACCGCTTAGGGTTAGGTTGTTCCCCAGTAGTTGGGGCTGAGCGGGCCTTCGTCGCAACCTTGCATACTATGAATTAGAGTTGGCGTTGACATAAATTACCTATCGGGTTGATCTTCATCTGACTGAGCCGGATCAGAAACTTGATACATTGGAGAGGTTTAATCGCTGTCCAGGTAGCTTGGAACTGGGGCTGTCACCCCGGTAATGCCCTTGATCATGTGTTGGCTGGTAGGGAAAGTTGTAGGACGGCTTTAGTTAGAATAGATGGTCTCCTTTATTTTTCGTTTGAATGCAAGCGGCATAAACTATTCCACCTCAAATAAAATTCTAAGGTTATCACGAACAGACAGACCTCCAAATAACGAACCGAGCGGTCGTCATAATCGTATAATCAAGCTACCGCACGGGCTTCGGAATATCTGTTCTTAGAACTTGAAGCTTTTGCTCTCTACGTAATATTTGCACCTTATTTTTCATGTCGGGATTGATTCATGCCCAGTCATGCGGCATTTGTCTTCGCCAATTCCTTAACTTCGCGCCCCACACAGTACTATACCCACCATGCTGGATCGCTCACCAAAAAAAAAAAAAAAAAAAAAAAAAATTGGCCTTCATTAGAATAAACTTACAAAATTTCCAGTCACTCATCATTAATTGCCTAGCGATGGAAATTTTGGCCTAGAGGAGCAATCTTTCCCATAGCAACTAACGACCCGCCATTTGTCCGGACTGCTTCCCGATCATGTGAGCGGAAGTTCATCAGATAATCCATGGGATCAAATGCAGAAGAAAGTAAAAAAAAAAAAAAAAAAAAAAATTACCTCATGTATATTTCTATGAGACTATAAATGCACTACTCTTCACTAAAGTATAAGTGTAGGTAAGTAGTGAATGGAGTGAGCGTCTTGGTCGCTGTGGACTTCTCGAGTCATGCGTATAGTCTTGCGTATGAAACATTGGCTGGGCCAAGGTTGCCTTCTCGTTTCAACAGTCACATACTCTAATATGGTAATTTTCTCTAGTCACTAGAAGAGACGGGCGTTTTCATTGCTCTGAAAAGCTATGTACATGTTAGAGCTTCGTCCTGCTTGGAGCAAAATTCGAGCCCGCGCCTTGACTGATAGCCTCAACAATAGCGTCGACACTGTTTAAAATCCAGGAATTGCCCTCATCACTGGCTAGCCACTGCGTTGCCTCCTGGTTTTCTCTATCGTTCGCCCATGTCCCATCCTCGAGCACTTTTCGTAAACCAAAAATGTGAGACGTCACCTGTGGGCCAACTCCGGATTGAGCGCGCAAACAGGATACAGCCACAATAGAAGTAAGGACCCGCCCGACAGAGGCACCCGTAACTCGCACCGGATCAGAGAGCAAGGCACCATAGTGACTGTTCAAAATATGAACAGGTAAATCCGGATGCGCATCTGCGAGTTTACGATATAGCTTCGTTTCAAATGGAGAGTATATCGAGTCCCAAAGTGCACGGCCGCGGTCGCTGATAGCACGAATGTTGTTCGGGGTAGGAGTACGTGTCGGGGTGGATGATAGCTGAGCGGCGACGGGAGTGGGTAGATTGGCTTTGAAGGAATTTAGGCAGTTGATAGTACGAGGAATGCCGTTAAAGCTAATACATTTGAGGCCAACTTCACGCATAAGTTCGGCAGTTTCGACTGCGTTGGTTGAAGGACCGATGGTAGCAAGTTGGTGCAGTGCCGAAAGTGAGTCGGGCGAGTTCATGGTCATTGTGGCAGCAGTCTACATGGATCGTCCGTGTTAAAGAAGGGGGAAACAATGTCACGTTTTTCGAGGTTCAGAACTAACCGACAGAGCCAGCCACGATGACCGCGAGACGTTTTGGGTCTGGGCACTCTGCTGAATGGCTCGATAGACAGCGGCGATATTTGGCGGGGCGGGCACAGTCGCTGGGCGGGCGGCAGGAGCATTGATTAATGCTTTGAGACTGTTAGAAAGCTTGGACATTTTTACTTTGCCAGTATTCTCTGGAAATATGTAGAGCAATTAATACTCGATTGACGAGGCGAAGTGCGCAACCTAGGCATTTGTCTCGGCGCCAGAACTAGACACCGACCGGATCCACCGCGGGTACACCCGAGAAACAAATGCCGACTACCAACCAGTGGTCATAAGTATGATATGAAAGGGAACTACACCCAGGGGGTTATGATACGGATTCAAAGTAACCAGATTACAGGCAGGATGGAGTCGAAGCTACAAGGCCATTGTGAGACTGGGTGTATTAACAGAACAAACAATGCTGATCGCAAGAGTACACTCTTCTTAATTCTTCTCTAAAGAAACCGATATTTAGCTCTCTAAGCCTGACATACGACCAGTGATCTTGCCGACGTCTTGGACTTCCGTAGCTTGGATGTTCTTATAACCGAGACTTCAACTGGTTCTGGCTTTCGGATGCAATAGCTGGAGTGTCATCATAAAGACGATTCATGCTCGGGTCGTACAATGGCTCAGCCGTAACCGTTGCTTGAATTCGCCTTCCAAAATATTCAATGACAACGGTTTCGCCTTCAGCCACTCTGCTCGGTAGCCAAACATATGCAACAGGTTTTCGGATGGTGTATCCGAACCCAGCGCTGGTAATATACCCAACCGCTTTGCTCTGATAATACACGGGCTCCTTCCCGAGGACCACAGAATAGCCATCGTTGATGGTCAGGCAGCGTAGCTTTCGATAAGGTGTCTGCTTGGTACGGGCAAGGAGTGCTGCCTTGCCAACATAGTCTTCTTTTTTGTCGGCCTTAATGGCAAAGTCAACACCGGCTTCAAATGGGTCATGCTCTGTTGTCATGTCGATACCCCAGGTGCGGTAACCTTTCTCAAGTCGCAATGCGTTAAATGCTGCGCGACCGGCTGCAACAAGCCCATGAGGTTTTCCTGCTTGCCAAAGAGAGTCCCACAGCCGCTGTCCGTACTCGGTGCTGGCATGAATCTCCCACCCCAGCTCCCCAACATAAGACTTGCGCATCATGGTCACAGGTATACCGGCGATGGTTGCTTCCTTGATGGAGAAGTAAGGTAGCGCTTTATTGGAAAAGTCGTCCGGGCTGACATCGCGAATAACGTCCCGGGCACGAGGGCCCCAGAGTCCAAGACAGCATGTGCTCCCAGTGATATCGCGCACCCGCACCCAACCACTCTTTGTACGCTGCTCTTGGTAACGGGCTTGTTGAACAAGATAGGCTAAATCAATAGCAGTATTTGCACCCACCCAGAACAAGTTGTCATTGAGCCTCGAAACAAAAATGTCGCTGCGGATGCCACCATGATTGTTTAGAAGCAGAGTATAGGTGATGGTGCCCGGCTTTGTCGTAACATCGCTTGTGGTTAACCTCTGGAGCAGATTAACAGCTTCTGGTCCTGAAACCTCGAATCGGTGAAAAGAGGTCATATCATACATCGCTACTGCATGTCGTGTCTTCCAGGCCTCTGCTGCAGCTATAGGCGAGTGGTACTGCGCTGACCAGGAATCGCGAGCAACTGGTTGCCAGTTTGAAGGGAGATGCCTGACCAATGGCGCATTTGCTTCGTACCAATATGGACGTTCCCACGCTGCAGCTTCAAGAAAGAAAGCACCCAGGTCTCGTTGTTGAGCGTAAAATGGACTAACACGAAGATTGCGAGGGGACTTCCTCGGTTGGAGAGGGTGTATGATATCGTAGATCTCAACAAAGTTCTGCTGTGATGTTTCTCTCACGTATTCTTGACTGAGTTGGACTTCCTCGAAGCGAGACAATTCGCACTCACTGACATCGATCTCAGATTGACCCGTAGTAAGAATTTGAGCCACGGATCGTGCGACACCAGCTGAATGTGTGACCCATACCGCTTCGGCCACGTAGAAGCCATCAATATTGGGCGCTTGACCCACGAGAGGTCCGCCATCGGGCGTAAACGAAAATATGCCATTGAAAGCGTCCGCTATTTCAGTTTCACGCAGAGCAGGCAAGAGATTTTGGGACAGCTTCCAAGCCGTATCAAAATCATGCCGGGTGAACTCGAGTCGAGATGGCATATTGTATTCATCGACGTGCTGAGAGGTTGCACCCAACAAAGCTGCATTGACCGGCATTGGACGGTGGCCATAATAACCGATTCCGTACTGGTCGCCGTGTTCGCGGTAGTAAAGATCCTGGTCCTGGTAGCGTAGGATCGGTAGGCTCGCGTTCAATCCGTTAGGCAGTGAGTTAATTTCACGACCAGAGAGAGCAGGAACTTTTGTCGTCTTTGCGTATTGATGCGCCAGTGGGAGCAAGGGCACCGGCAGGTCGACCATAGCACCCACCTCGACGCCCCAGAAACCAGCGCAAGAAACAATGATATCGGCAGGAATGATGCCGTTCGGGGTCTTTACGCCTGTCACACATCGTCTTGTCCGCTCAATTCCAGTGACAGGGGTTGAACCAAAATATCGGACACCAGCTTTGCTGGTCCGTTCAATGAGGAGCTGTGTCGCGCGAGCAGCTAAAGCTAAGCCGTCGCTGGGTATGTGGAGGCCGCCAAGTACGAGATCTTTGTTGAGGAAAGGGTACATGCTAATACACTTCTCGGCGCCTATGAGGTGCGCTTCGATTCCCCACGAGGTAGCGTAGCCGTGTTTGCGTTTGAGCTCTTCGAGTCGTGCAGACGTCGTCGCCACTTCGAGACCGCCCACCTGGTTGAAACAATTCTGCCCATCTTTCTCGAGCGACTGCAACTTTT